TGATGATGATGATGATGATAATGATGATGATGTGCCTTTCAATTGGGACACCGGACCCCATGGTCCTTCCAGCATGTTCCAAGCTACGGCTTTGAAAGCTTCAGGCTTTTGACCCAAGCTCCAGCGTTGGTCTGGGGGTCTACCGTGCGGAGAATCGCACGGTCAAAGCCCAATCAAACACCATGGTCTCCATGGCCTCTCCATGAAGCACCACCTTGGCCGTGCTCTTCAGAGACGCGGCCCTAACCCTGGTGGTTCGGTGGTTGGCCATGTTTCACCAGGTGCTGTTCCCGGCTGGGAGCATCTTCCGGGTGTTGGGCTTCTATACCTGCACCTCGCAATGTTTGAGGCGTTTGCTTGGGCGATGTTTCGGCGTTTTGGTTGGGTCGGAGGGTCTGTGAATCAGTGAGGAAGGCTTGGTCGGAGGGTCGGGAGGGGGTGGGTCAGCGGGTGAGTTTGAAGGGAGGCCAGGCCTCCGGCAAGCAGCTCCCGACGACACAATAGGTCCCAGGTGGATGGCATTTAGGGTTTTTTGGATGACGACTTTCCTCTACAAACAAGGGGCGTAACCCAATTTCCCTTATCTATGTTCTTCAAACCGTTCCTTTTTCCACATCCATGCGATGTATGAACCGAGTGTAGTTATCTCCAAGTGACATGGCCTGGTTGGAACCCAGAAGTTGGAACCAAGCATCGGTTTTCTGGAAGAGAGGGAAACCCTTCGAATCCGATAGAATCAACCGAAAACCACCTGTGAAGTCGGGTGCTGGTACCAGGGGTCACATGTCGGGGTGGTGTTTGGTCCCTAAGTGAGTGGATAATGGCACCCCTAACCTCCAATAGGCACCCCTTTGTGACTCCTGGTATATTGTGTCTTCAATGAATTTGGCAGTATATCCACGTGTTGTGGGTGGATGGCCTCCATCATCTTGGGAGCAATCAGACTCCGGGTCTGCATCGTGTAGCTGTTGGGTATTTACATTGGAATCAGAGAGATGTTGCCATCCGCAGGATGTGGTTAGAACCAAACTGGGGTTTCTTCCACACCATCTGAAATTGTGCTCACATACCCACTGAAAGTCTTGCCCAAACTCTTCTGAAGTTCACTGAAACTCCAACATACTCCACCAGCTCCAAAACCACCAACTCCTGAGTCTAAACCCTACCCTACCACTCCTGTCTCCCCTACCACTCTAGCCTGGCCACCCTACTGCGCCAGGAAGGGCACCGGCAGCGCCTCGAACGCCTGGTCCGCGGAGCTGGGCTCCGCCGTCGCCGCGAGCGGCGGGGACGCGCTGACCTGGGAGGAGGCAGCAGTCACAAGACGGGGTGGTGTTGAGTCCGTGAGTGGAGTAGCTGGCTAATCAGAGGAAGTGGGCGCGTACGTCCTTTTGATCTATCTTAAATACAACTCAGATCAACTCAGTATATTGTCTTAATTGTCTAAAGAAAGAAAGCGACAAACGGGTCTGTGAAAGGGGAAAATGGAAAGGGGAGGACTCTGAGAGGACCTTTCTGGAAGGTAGCGGTAAATCTGCCTTCAGAGATTTCAGAATGTATTTGTTAAAAGCAACTACTTTCTCGTTAAGGCTTTAAGATGCTTCAGCTGCAACTGTTTCACATATGTTTGTTAGTGGGCCGTTTTTATGGCCGTAATTAAATCCAGAACTCGCTGATACTTCCCTTTTGAGGGTCATTCCTTTGAATGACGGTCTCGGTGGGCGCGCCACCACCGCCCGCTCGCGGCCCGTTCGCCAGGTCTGCCGCTCTCGTAGTGCCATGGTTTGGGACCCTCAGGTGAAAAACGCGGACGACTCAGGTTGATGGACCCGGGGTACGGATGCATTTCCACCGGTCTTTTTGGGACCCCATCACCTAGCTTTGATGGACACTATAGTTAACTGATGTTAACTGGTAAGCACATATAGCACGATGCTTTCGGCTTCGAACCGGGAGATGCTGACGCTGACCGGCACAGAGGCCACGTCGTTCGGCCGGGTTCCGGGCCGAAGAGAGCTGCATGGTGCTGAGTGAGCCGGTGCTGACCGTGGTGCTGAGCCGGACATCAACGAATTTGAGAAGACTTAGAGAAACGTAGTATAGTGGAGATACTATACAAACACTCTATAGTGGAGAAACACTAAGGCTTAGAGCAGTATCTTTGCACCAATAGAGCATTGAATCAATCCCAAATAGAGATACTGTAGTGGAGAGTGGAGAGAGATACTACAAGACGACCGGTCTGGCACATTCTTGCACGTTCGGCGCATTCCATTGGGATGTGTGTTTTCAAAGGAGTGGATGGATAGGTGAAGAATGCAGTGAATACATTTGGGGAGAGAGAGAGAGATGTGTCCACTTGTGTTGTAAAGGAAACACAGATCCATGTAAAAAAAAAATCTTCGTCGTATGTGCTGTCTTCGACACCGGATTTGTGTCTAGGAAGCAGGTCCGCGCAAAGAGTTCGGGTTGGAAAAGGCGGATGACACATTCGGTTGCCCAAGAAGTTGGGTTCGGATTGCTGAATACATCTTCAAAGAGGTGGAGACTGGTCTTCCGAGACCATGCCTGCCCCCAATGACTGCACATGGACCGCACATGATCGAGACAGAAAAGGATGGCCCGACTGGTTGACCAGAATGGATGGCCCACCAGGGAAGTCAACTTTCATGAGGACCTATAGAACAACCTAAGGGCTCCAGCTTTTCCCACACCACTCGACTAGAAGAGGCTGGCCGTGGACACATGTGCCACGCCGTGCGGGACACGAAACAAAACACACGTCACAATGTGGAACAGGGTCATCACATGTTATAAGTTATAACCAACCTCCAGCGCCACAACGCAACGCTCTTCGCTCTTTCTTTGTCTGCACCAACGAGCGTCTGGGTCGATCCAAACGAGGTCTTGCTGGATGAAGAGGACCCCACCGTGGCGGTGCAGCGACCGGAAATGCTCACCATCTAAGGAACGAGGTGAGGCGAGAGAAGGGTCGACGAGTTCCGACCAACATGCTGAAGCGGATGGGTCTTGATTCGAGATCGTCAGCACAAATTTTCTTGGGAATCGTAATTGTGGGCTCAGGCAATCCTAACAAGTAGCCGATGGTCAAGACTCGGTGTGTATTTCTTGTACATGTTCTAGCAGCATTTGAAATGGTAAGAGTCTTCAGAGGCCCTCTCAGAGAGTTGCTTCTAACCGGGTGGTGAGGCTTTAGCTCGCAGCTCGCTTGAAAACGCACCATGTTTTCAGTGCAAAAAGTCCTAGACGTCCACAGTCGGGTCAGCAGCATCAGTCTTCATGAAGCCCTAGGACACAGGCGTTACCGTGTTGCTTTCGGATGCGTAGTCTTTCACATGAGTTTAACCCCAAGCACCAACGACCCACCTCTCCTACATCGATATTGTTGATACCGTTCTCCCGCTGAGCGTCGCAGCATTGAAGAAGCTGTCATTCACCGGGGTTCCCAGTTGGGGTGATGGACCAATTCGTCCACCAGTGGGGATCATGTCCCATTTTCTAAGGTACTTTGGAGGGTCCAGGTAGTACACAAACATATCCTCAATCAGCAAATGCCACCAGTCAATGGATTCCCCAGAGGATGTTCGAATGCTGATTGGTATGCTCCAGCTGAGCCCTTGGTGTTCCACCTGCTGTATGGAAGGCGTACAGTACTTTCAATCACTGTTGGATTTAAGACCTTCCAAGTCTTTGATGATGGAAGCTCAGCTTTTGCCAGGTTGCAGAGATGTGAATTGAGAGAGTTTTTAAGGAGTCTGGACCAGTCGCCATGACAAAACGTGGCAATACGCAATACCTGAGGCGTGCTGCAAGTCTGGCACAGGACATGGCAAGGTAGCAGGTGCAGGGCCGTGCCCTGTTATTCCTTCAGTGTTTTCCTTTTGTGCAAGAATGGTGTCAGAAACCATGCTTGGGGCCGTGCCCTGATTTTTATTTTTCACACGTTTAAACGCTGGTTGTCTAGATACAGTACGAGCTTCCCATAGAAGATCCCACTAAACAACAATTGATCCTCAATTTCAATACACATGGATGCCACCGTCACCGTCCTTGAAGAGGTGTTTTACTTGATGCCATAGGCAAAGGAGGGATTCCGCGGAGTGGGTGCAGTACGTTATTTTGCAGAGTGGCGTGAAAGCGTGGGGGTAGTCTTACTTGCAGAGGATTTGACCAACACTCCCCAAAAGCGACCACAGAGATACACGGATGAAAGCATTGAGTTGGAGATCTGCTAAACCATACTAAACCTATCTAAATCCTACTATATAATATCCGAAGCAATTTGTTGTAATTGCAACATGAGAAGAAATGTACGGACAGCCAGCTGAAAATGCAAGCTTGCAGTTTGAACAGAAGAATCGCGCAGATCGATTAATCAGCGACAGAGAGATAGAGAGAGGGAGGGCAAGTGAGAGACCCAAAAGACAGGATTCCATCTCAGTGGATTGTACAAACAAAGGCGCCTTTTTGCATGTACAATACCTGGATGTGTTTAAGTCACTGCTAAATGATTAAATGCATGTCAACTTTGTCAACTTCGGGATTCTAAGGGGATTGTTCCTAGATTCCTTGCATCAAACACCTTCCATGACCTTTTTCCGTAACCCTCCTGCCCATGACTTCCTTCGGACACGGTCAGACGTGCAGCGCCCACACGACGGGCCACGAGGGCTTAACACGACGCCTTCGCTGTACAGATGCAGTTGGAACACCAACGCGGAGGTAGATGCAGAGCACCGATGGTTTTGAGGTCGTTGTGTATGGTTTTGAGAAAACACATGGGTTTTCGAGGAAGGATGGAGGAGCACCTTGGCGCAACAGTGTTGCGCCCAGCATGAAGTGAGTGGCTGTTTCTTCTTATGGCCATGAGCCAGTGGATATATGAACAACATGATACAAAAAGGACATCCATGAATGTATATATTCTATTATGGGACTCAGCCAAGTGTTCAAGTCGTCCAATCTGAGCCTCGTTCTCTTAAAAAGGGTGTTCTTCCTATTTCCAGGCGCATCCAGGAGTCGTTTTCCTCGCTGCTGTGCCAAGCGCTTGGCGTTGACGTTCCAAACTGCCATCGAAGGCTTATGACATCGGTTAAACTATTGAAACGTCCGAGCGACTTGGCGTCGCGAACCAGCGCCGCGAGTCGCGTCGACACACGTGAAGAATCAGGTCGACCGAAAAAGAAGGCCCCTGCAGGGCGAGCGGCGCGAGCGGATGTATCATGAGATGGGTCTCTTCTTTGCTACTAGCGGCTACTAGCACGCTTTCGTCCGACGTCCTTCCATGAAAAACTTGTTTCGTTGGGAAAGATTGGGCTGGATGTTGAAGTGACAGTTCGCTTGGAAGTTGGTCGATGGACTGATAAGGAAGGTCCGGCAAGTCTGACGAGACGGTCACCTTGATGTCCGAACGAACAGCGTGGTCGACGGTGCACAGGCTGTGACTCACTAGGTTCTCATACCCAGACACTCCGCGGGATTGGCATATTTAGCTGTATACATTGGGGTGGTTGAAATGGGGTCAAGTGTGCAAATATGCCAGTCCCATGGAGTGTTTGGGATATCATATATCCATGATAGTCATGATATATCCTCCGGCCGACTCCGGAGGATTAGATCCACAGGGGTGGACATAGAATATTTTCCGGTTTGGGCTCCAGTCATACCTTCTGAGGAGGTACTTGGAGCCCTAGGGTTTGTTAACGAAACAAAACGTTGAAGATGCAAGATGCAAGGGTGGATCGGCGGAACTGACTCTCTGTCGTTGCCTTGTTTTCCCTACTGGACATGCTGAGGGATGTGCACGTCTTGTGACAACTCGTTTCGCTGACTTTGGGGCCTCAACATGTTTCTTCACGATCCAGATGGCCAGCAGAATGGAACTAAGTGACTAGCTCCGCTCTGGCGCTCTGTTGGACCGGGCCGAAGACGCGACCGCTGTGATGTTCGAAATCCGATCTGATCATGTTGAGAACAATCACCTCACCATCAACGATTTGTGGTGGATGTTTTCATAGTCCATAGTCCACCATCTGAAAGGTCAGGTGTTGTCCATAGTTTTCTACGATCGCCATAATTCCAATCCACCTCACCTTTCAGACCTTTCCCCCCAGCGTTTTCGGCGCCGATCTCGGCGGCACCGAGTTTTCGGCGGCAGCACCACGTTTTTGGACCGCTTTCTTGGGCCTCCCCAGAAAGAAAACACATGGGAGCTGGCTGTCGCGACCAAAGCAACTTGCGCTTCCAGCACTGAACACGTCGAGAAAACGAGCGGGGTCTGATGGGTGGGTCGTTGAGTCGTTTGGGGAAACACCGCCGAGCAGCTTAGTTTGCCGCAGCCTTTTCACAAGGCGAGGTCATACTGCAGGTGACGTTAGGTCACCATTGGGCGCCTGGGCAGCAAATGAGTTGAAGAGTGTGTTTAGATGGGATGTGAGGAGCCAGGATAGGCCCCTTTGACCGGTCTTTTGAGAGGAAGAGTATATCATAGTAATTATAGTATACCGCAGTATACCTTAAACATACTTATATAAACCATCTTAAGCTCAAGAAGATTTCTTATCATATCTCTTTTTGATTAAGGTGCAAAGAACAAACCTCAATTCGATCGAGAGGTTTTTTTCAGCCAGACTTTGAGGACATGTGACACCCTGAGGATTCCATTCCTCTTGTCGTGGTTGAGTGGCAGTCTAATTGAATCGAGCTATCAATGAGCTCTGTAGCATGTGTGAGGAAGTGTAACTATAAAAATAATGAAGCCAGAATGAGCCAGATCTTTAGATGCAGCACATTAAATGTTGCATTCTGTTGGGGTGAACATGATGAACATGGCCACCACGATGGCCTTAATGCGCTCCTTCCCGAGGCTTGTGCCCTTGCGCTTGCGCGCACGGCAGGAGCCGAACTCGGTCCAGAGTCCAGAAGTGTTGGATGCACTTCCGATCTGGCGGGGCGACAATGCAAAAGGTCTTCCCCTCCAAAGTACCCTAAGTAAAAATGGGACATGACATGACAGGATTCTATTAAAACAGGTAGTATCTAGTACCAATTTGTAGGAGGACTTTGAGGGTCCAGGTTGGTGCAGTCGGAATCGAGACTAGAGAACTCTAGACGTGTTTTTGTGGCACAGAAAGGGTGCACAAAAAGGGATGCAGCTAAGCTCGCTACTTGCCAACTCAGGATAACGTCAGGTAATGATATGTCATGATAAGGAAAAAAAAAATCCTTGATAACGTCAGGTAATGATATGTCATGATATGTTTCTTTTTCACCTTATGCCTTGCCTCACGAACTCGTGTCAGTGTCACCTCCTCTCCTCTCCGGTTGGTGGCGGACGAACGCGCGTGCCTGGACGCACCGGGCACCTAAGCAGCGCTGCAGGATGAGCTGTCAAGCCTCAAAGCCTTCGATGAGGAGGGTTTAGGGCAGCTGGGACGATGTCCGAACAGGACGACACTCGACCAGGACCCTCCAGTCGTGGTGCCCTGTTTGGAAGCCTATAGGTAGTGTGGGGTAGTCCATTGGACACGCGGACAGGAGGGTCCTGGTAGGTTGTATATATGGACGCCTTGACATTGTTGACTGAGAGGATCGATTTGTTGGCAGCTTAAAACCGAAATACATCCAATTGCAAATACAGTTGGATCAGATGATTCAGAAAACACAGAATGCTTCCCAGGGTGCCCCAGCCCATAAAAAATGTGTCGAATATATGTATATTAATAGTATCTTATGTCATGGTCATGGTGATTTTCCTCCAACGTTAAGAAGTCAACCCCATGCCGCCGTGGTGTTTGCAGGTATGACCGGATGAGAGTGGAATCGGGAGCTGGGAATCGCTCGGGGTCCAGGGAATCGGTCAGACACATCCCATGGGACTGCCGAGAAACGGCCGTTGGGGTAGTTGACTGGGGGTATAGACAGATAGGGCGGCAGTCCGACAGTCCCGACACGTCGTCTGGGATTGGTGGAGCCTACTGGGGTCCAGTCCGACCCAGTAAAACCTGGTCCTTTGCCTCATTGAACAGTGTTTATATATGAGCACCAGTCAAATGAGATCCAACTGACCGGAAAACCAGGGGGATCACGGATCAAACGAATAATCGAATATATAATCGTTCTTGAAAAACCTTGAGCTCTATTCAGTGATTCTTCTTTGTGTCCAGGGGCCTGGTGGGGAGTATCCTTTGTGAGTTGTGATGGGGGGATGTATTTTTTTGGTTTCACCAAGGATTTGGTTGCCCTGATGTCCAATTGCTAGGAAGCAGCAAATCTAGGAAGCAACAAACTCATTAGGGTCAGGGAATATCTGTGGTATAGGGCCTTCATGGGGGGGTACCCTTTAGGTTGGTGTTGGGCAATAGTTGATGGCTTTTGAGAAAAGAAACTATGTAATGACACAGTTGTTGTGATTCCAAGTGCCAGGTATGGCATATAGTTGATTGCTATGTTTTATTGATTTGTGTTTAATGCGTTTTGTGTTGTCACTGATTTGTTTGAGTCGTTGAATGATATGTTTTGTATTTGTCTCAGTGAGGTTATGAACGTTTTGGTTGCGTCAGATCCTTGAAGACCGTTGAACGGGCACTTTCAGAAAGCATGAGTTCTTTGGACCACAACTGAAGCAAAGACCAACACCTTATCCACATGAATGTCAAACTTTGGGTTTGTCCCAATAACCTTGTAACAGTCAGGTTTCACAGACAAATCACAATTTTAGAGAAAGGCCTGCAAGCTAGCCGTCACTAGCCATCATCATGTACTGTTACTGGTAATGGGATGTACCCAAGTTAGACTGCTAAAATGAAACAGATCAATCACTCATCTCAATAATCCACCAACAGAACTTTTTAAACACACAACTATTCATGGCAGTTCTAGTTGTTGGATAGTTGTGTTTGCTTGTGAGTTTTCGAAGCATTTTTTTGTGTAGTGCTGTTCATGTGTTCGTCTGTGGACGTTGTTGTACCATGAATCACTTTTCATCACTCCGTCGCCCTTAAAGACGACCGCTGAGACCTTTGGTGTTCTTCTTCAAATCTTCAAAGGTGATCCAAATCGCACATCAGACCGGTGGGATGTCCAGGTCGGCACTTGAGATCTTCAGACTGGGACGTTCGGTAAGAAGCTTTGACCGGACGTGTCGAGACAGGTTCTGGTGTGTCGTGTCAGGCGTGGCGACCGGACGTCCTTGTGTCTTAAAGGGGTCCTTGTTTTTTTTTGAGGACCCCTTTTTCAACCTGGAGTCCGGAGCACAGGTGCGCCAGAATGTCAACATAACACTCCCCCGTGGTGGGGAATTGATATCCCCTTCGGTATGACATCACTTGCCGCATGCCTATATTGGTTGGGACCCACGACTATAGTCCTTCAGGGCGGGTGCAGGTGGGGCTGCCTCAGTTGCGGATTGAAGGAAACTTCGACCAAGCGACACACTAGGAGACACAAGCACATGTGCTTTCAATTCCAGAGACCCACCTCCAGTTGCAGGAAACCCCATCTTTTAGGGCTCCAAGTGCCTCCTCAGAAGGTATTGGGACCCTCTAAACCCACCCCAGTCCCACCTTCGAAACGAAGGTACGACTGGAGCCCAAACGGGTATAGCTCCGGTGTCTGCCACCCGCGCTCCCCGCTTCTTGAATATCGCGACATCGGCCACCTCTGTGGCGCCACCTGTGGCCGTGCCCGTGTCTCGGTGCCAGGAGGCGACATGCATTACAACTCTTTAAGACCGCCGGGGGCACCCGACAGCGGCGCGGAGTGACACGGTCGAGCGCGGAGTTCGGTCGGTCTCACGACCAACTCCTTGAGGTCGACACGAACGGGTTCGGTTCGGTGGGACACGGTGCCAGGAAGGCGAACATTTGTGGTGCCCCAGGTGTTTGACTGCGCGCAGCGTTTGATGGTTTTTGTGGGTTCCTAGAGTGGAGTCAATTAGACTTATATACATGGTCGTATTTTGTTGTGCATCGATGTACTTTGTCTCCCTTGCTGCAACAAAGTTTCAACCGACACTTGATGCCATTTTTTGGGGAAGATGTTGGAACACACTGCTGTTTAACAGGATTTGCATCGAAAGATTCAAATGGCTGGCAATGTGCTTGCTCATCCCAAACGACATCCTGCCACAATGCCGGCGGAATCCAGGTTGAACAGGTGGCCATCTCTTTTCGTCATTTCAGGGCCGCCCCCAAGCACCAGTGGGTGGCATGGTTTTCTAATGTTTTCTACATGCGGGAACCCCAAAATCATGTTTTGTTTTTTTTTTTGGGGGGGGGGCGGTCTCCAATGTCTTTGCAATAGTTTTAAGACGCATCCAGGTAGGCCCAAAGAACGTCAGCCCGTCTTTCTTTACAGCCAAAAGCCAAGCTTTTCCATATATGAGTTATTACTCATATATTGCTTATTTCGATGTCGTTGGACCCCAAAACAACCAGGATGGACCACATGTTCTCTATCTTCCAGACTGCAAGGCTTTAAGACAAAGGAAAGCAGCATGACTTCTTTTCATCTTGACGACGTCCTTCAGAACTGGCTCAGGACATGTGCCAGTTCTTTCTTGAAGGACGTTGTGAAAACGGTGACCTTTGCTCTTACGCACACAAGGAGACAGAGGCCAGATGGCGCCATGAGCGTTTTCACCGGGACCGACGCACGCGGTGGTGGAGAGATAGGAATATAAAGGAACAAAAGCAGAACTTGTTTGAAACAATACACATTGAGTATACATGTCTATGATGTTAGTACTATTTAGATCTATTTAGTAATTATGGGTATAATGTGTTTTTCTCTTTCAGGGGGCCTGTACCACTTGCATGAGTGTTTGAGTGTGTGTTGAGGGTATTTCAAGAAATTTCAACTGTAGCAAGATATAGTCAAGCCACAGATGGGTAGTTGAACCAACAATTTGCTAGTTCAACCATAAGTCGACTGTCTGAGTCTGGGTACTCTTGGATGACCATGCTCCGAACCCACCTTCACCACCATACTCTGAACGCAGCTGTTTCCACCACACCGTAACAACAGCTGGGGGTGATTGAACCCGTTCTTTTTCGAGGCGTCCGATCCCCGCGCGACATGATCTTCCAGCGATGTCTCACCCGCCCGGTTGACCGACTAGTCAGGTCGCCCGTTCGTTTTGGGTGGTCAAGCCGCTACCGGTAGCCCGGTGGTTTTCACCCGCCACATCCTCCGAGATACGGGTGAAAAGTGGTGAAGGCATTGGGACTTTGGAGAAGGTTCTTCTCGGTTCTTCTTGCAGTTTCCGGGGACATCGCCCAGAGCTGAATCGTTTGGGTCGGGTTCCCTAGAGAGAGGTTGAGCAGCCCTTTTTCGTCCATTTTACATGTACCAGAAGAAAGGGTCCCAGTTCAGGTCTCTCTCAACCTCTCCAAGAACATAGACCCACTCTTCTATGGATGTGATGGATGTGCTGTGCTTTTGCTGGGGCGAGTTCCCAAGCAGAACGGAACCGCACAGAACCTCGTCATCTGACCCGCACGGTCTCCCCGCGAGGTTCGAAACAAGCCAGATCTGACCAAGACAAGCATGTGCAGGAGCTGATGGGAGCGGATCTGGGATCGTGGGATACGTGGCCAGGTCGACTCTTCCGGTGACGATCGCAGTGGACCTTCATTCCTTGGAACGGGGACTACGGGGACTCCACCCTGTGAGGCCCATCTTGGGACCACAAGGGCTCCTTCTGATCATCAGAGGCCAGTAATCGAGAATGTTCGACCAGAGGGACGGGAGTACTTCCTTGTGAAACAGGCGGAGCCACCCCCTGATTTCAGCAAAAGAAGAGCATGGGGGTCTTTTTTGAGGGAGCGAAATGAACTGGAGGTCACTGCTGTGGGACGTGTCAAACAACATGATCATGGAACGTGAAAACGGATTCACTCTGCTGGAGAAGAATGCCCCTCAAACCAGTGGTTTTCAGGGTCTCAGGTGGTGGGGGCTCACTTAACTTACTGGGTGCGTTTTGAAATGTACACTTCGTCAAATCCATTATGAACTCCCTATAGTTACTATGGAGGATCCACTGGCACCCTTTGAGGTACGGTGATGTGTTAGACACTTTGATGAGACGGTGCCAGGAGATGTTTGGAGGCTCTAAGTAGCTTGTGGGAAGGACGTGACGTGGCTCCCTACTCGGGACATGCTTGAGTCTGCATGAGATCTCTCGATCTCCAAGACCACGTCAAATCCATGGAACCAGCTGGAACTCCTCCGCTCTTCCTTCGCGCGTTCCGTGGAACTCCTCCGCGTCTCGTCTCGTTCCGGACGGCCCTCAGGAAGCTGCTCCGCGATGGAGCGTGTAACGATGAGCGATGCCGATTCGCGCATTCGGAGCCACTTGGAGCGATATGCGTAAGTGAGCCGTGCTGCACGGCTCCCGTGCCGTGCCGTGCAGTACTTGAAGCACAGCAAATGGGAGCCCTTCGAGGTGTATGGCCGGAAATAGGGGACCCCCTGTGGCCCAAGGGGTTTTGGTCTATGTCCTTCCTTCCAGGGGGTCGTTGCCTGGGAGGTCTCCCTATTTGAGCTACACAAAGCACATTTATGATGTACTTATTCTCGCGCAGTCATGAGGAGAAGAGAATCTGTAGTGGATGATTTGTAGAGGTTTTTGGATGTGTAGCGGAGCGGCTACAGGCCACTGAAGACATTCAAATCCTTCGGGGCAGCGTCGAATTCATGCACCGAGGGTCGAAATTCTGCTCGCACCGGTGGAGAGTTCAGTGTCAGTTTTCCACTTGTGCGCACGTCTTCTTCCCCAAATCAGGCCGACATGGAAAAACATGAGCCAACAAAGAACCCAACTGACCAAGGAGAAATAGCTATGAGGATTTCCCACCTCCAGTCCAAATGCTTCGTGGTCCTGGAGTGCAATGCTTTTCTTGCATGTACGTGATCGGAATGAGTTTGGGTAGACACACACACAACAGCCATCTACACAGACATCAACAATTAGTTTTATATATAATTCCCAGACACGACTAATGGGACTGACATACTGTATTATGTTGGTTTCAGGGGTCAATGTAAGTAAATATTCCAATGACATGGAGTGTTTGGGATTGTTCAGGATTGTTCCCGGTTCTGTTTGATTCAACTTCTTCAGAGGGTCAGATTCAGGACAACCTCCCTTTCGGCAGGTCTATACAGTCTTATGTACCTGTCACATGCTGTCACATCCTTCTCTGCTGAGGGCTGAGCTACGCTCGACCTCCGGATTTTTCAAGATGAAGATGTGCGTATTTGCGCAGTCTGGCCTTCACCCTGCTCGCTTGATCATTGCCTTTAAGCTGTGTCGTTTGCAAATTGATGGGGCTGATCATATTCACACGCGTGCTGCTCAGGGACCATGTTTTTCACATCTCACAACAACGGACGTTGCATTTGTGACACGTGTGCTGCGTTTGCATGCTCAAAAGACAGATGCAAGAACGAGCTCGCTATATGTTGATTCCTGAGCAAAAGGTGTTGGTTCTGTTCCTTTTTGGCTAACAGGACTGCTCATCCGCAGGTTGGACTCGTGTCGTGGCAAATACTCCTCGTTGGACTCGTCCGTTTCCTCGGCGCGCGAAGAAAAATACCGTGCACCGTCCGTCGACGTCGAGTACCTGAAGAGGTGCTCAAAGAACTTGGCCAGGTAAATGCAAAAACGGCAACCGTTGCCGTTTTGCCCATACGACGGACTGGGGAACTGGGGGACGATGTCCTGGGGGAGGACATCGATGAAAGGAAGAGAGGAACTCTATGTGTTCATAGGGAGCTGGGGTAAATATTGAAGAGTCGGTCACCTGAGAAAACTCTGCCGATTTATACATTTATACCGGATAAGTTAGAGATTGACATAGAACTTGAAAACCATCCGTTTGCATTGACAAGTATTTCAAATAGTCATCCAGTGGTCCATGTTCAGGTTCTTAATTTGAAACTTGCCCAATCTATATAAAGTGTCAGGTTTCTAGGTTTATTTGATTCTCTTTGACTTAATATAACATAAATAAGCGGACAAGGTCCTAGGTTTGATGCTTACTATATGGTTTTCCCTCTTCTTTGGTGAAGATGCCAAAGAATGTTCCAAGCAAAACATCCATTCTCAACAAGTGTTTGGTCTATTGGCCATTTTTAGACTGAAGATGACTGAAGGAACACGATACCGACATCCTCCTGTCTCCTATCGTGACGTTTCGGAAGACGTCACCAGTGGGCCGTTTCGGAACATGAATTCAAATCCGGTCCTTCTGAACGCCCCCAAAGTCACTCGCTCAGTGAACGTCCTTTTTACATCTCATTGACTCGTTTTGTCCAGATTTCCTCTTTGACCGACCTGACATGAGCTGAGTCTAAAAACCTCAAGCACCCACCGTCTCCGCGTCCGCGCCGGGCTCTTCCCCCCCGGACGCGTCCGCCGCGTCCGCCGGGCTCTTCCCCGCTTGGTGCAGGATGAATTGCTCCCTCCGAAGCCTCCCAAGGTGGAGGAGGTGCGTGGACGGGGGCTCCGACAATCCGCCTGGCGATCGGACGACAAGACATGACTGATGATTCGGGGAGTGACATCTTGACCGATCTGGCGTCCATCTGATCGGCATATATTATCCAGTCCCATGGAGTGTCTGGAAGGTACGGAAGGTACAATACTGGGATTTGGGGGTAAGTCATTTGGACTTGTAAGTCTGGAAGGCAGTACTGGGCCTTGCAGGACTTGTGACTAAACCTTCAGCACTCGTAGGGAGGAATTGGAAGGTGTAAAGATGTGTATGTATTATTGGGTGTGTCCGAACTTACCTGTAACAGCCGGTAAACACATATCACTATTTTAGAGAAAGGCCTTTACCAACGATGCATCATCCACTGTTGCAGCGATTAGTATTATATGCCCCATGTACATAAAGCCTACAAGCCCTACAAGCCCTACGGCCCCACCGGGTCAGTTAGACCGTTAGACCTCCTTTTACGGGAGTGGATCATGCAACAGACACTATTCAATGAGGCTAACCTGCACCAGGTGTTGCTGGGTCTGTTGACCGGACCAGTCGGCCTCAAATCCAAGTATATATGGAGACAGGGAGCGAGTGGCATGTTCAGTAGGGAATGGATGTTGATCCTTTTTTTTCGTGGGGAACCCGGTGATTCTAGATGCTCTTGATCCATCTGGAAGGATCTCCAGGGACAGCAACAAGATGGCGTCCTTTAAGAGAACGACGACCACCAATTGCGCAACACAAAAAACTTCGATAGTCAGACCTTCCTCAGTTGTTCTTCTCCTGTACCATCTAGATTCCATGGTCTCATACATCTTCAATTGCATGATCCTCATCGTGATCGTCATTTTGCTTTTAACATCTTCGTACTGCTTCTTGTCTTGCCAGGAAGCGAGCATTCAAGACAAGAAGATTGATGCGCAAGCCTTGTCTTCGCTGGGACAGAGACACAAGACTGCCCCTTCACAACAGGAGCGGGCGAAGCCGCCCGGCTCATGCTCATGCATGTCACGGGGTGGGCTGTAGAAGAGTTGGGAGGGTTTTGGTATGTAAATGGTGAAAGAGGGCTTGGTGAAAGGGTGAAACCATGTGAAGCCGCTGCCTTTGCAGGTTTGTTCTTGGTAAGAACACCGATGACGTCCTCCATCTCTCCTTCGAACAAACTCACCACTGGCAGGAATCGCATGGCACTGGTGGCAGCACTGCCACGGGCAATGGTGAAAGCACCAGCAGCAACGGTGGCAGCACCAGTGGACATGCGAGTGGCCAGTCCAGCAACGAGAACAGCTGGGGCCCCTGACCGCCAGCGTCGCGGCCTTGCGTGCGTGCGCCTGTAAATTGGTCCGCTTGGATCAAGGAGTCATCACTCAAGCTCCCATTGTAGATGATACGCACCCTCACGTGAGGCAGAAATCAACTATATACGATGTACACATAGATCAAAGACATAGACGTAGCTGTGCCAAGGAAGAATGATAGAGTAGAGAGGGAGAGGGATAATAGCACGATACCAGACGCGCTCTTGTTTTTTTTTTCAGCCGATTAGAGCTCTGGACCGGACGGTGAGCAGAGATTCATGGAACAACAGATGTTTTTTTTGCCATCGGACCGCCACTGGATCACCCACTAGCGCTGGATCATCCACTATAGGTGGCTGCTTTCACGAGACGTTTGTTTCAACCTTTACTTGAAATGCTTGGATCATTTTGGATCCCACGAATTCGAAAACATTGTTTCAAGTGACTTGAACATGTTGTTCAACATGTTGAAATCATCAACCATCACCAACCATCGTCCAATGACTCTGGCTCCCAAAAGTCCAACGGTAGACCTCTTGTCGGTGGGAAGTTGGCAAGACGGCCACACTGGTTTGACTACGACTTTGCACTCGGCATTGATGTCTCGACCACGCAGAAGGACCAACCAATCTTATGAGATCTGTGGCTGTCAACTAGCAGGTTGACCTAATGTAGACTTGAGTAAGAGCCAAGAGGTTTGACAATCCCCAGACACTTGACACTCCATCTATGGCATATTTAACTGCATTGACCCCTGAAACCAACCCAATGTAGGCAAATATGTCATACATGGAGTGCGCAGTGTGTATAATCCATGTCTGGTCGGGGAGGGCTTTAATTCAGCTCTAGTTTCCCACCTGGAGATGGATAGAACACCGTTTTGTGCCCTCCACTTTGGCTGCGGAGCCTTTCCCATTTTCATCTTCAGGTCGGGATGACGGGTGAAAGCCCCTCTTGGGCCCTCCCAATGAGATTATTGGGATCGGATGAGCTAGAGAAAACGCATTTCCAACACTCCCCATGATAGAAGAAGCTCCTGCATCCTGAAGCCTTCCTCCCCATTCCCCGCTCATTTGAGCGGGAATTACTTTCACCCTGCAGGCCCTGCCCTTCCCATTCTCCATGGGCCCGTTTTTTGAAGGAGAGCGAGAGGAAGTCCAAGATAAGGCTAGCAACAAACCACCTCTACTACACAAATCGATCTTCCCTTCATCTTCCTTCGTTTCGTGCCCCTTTGCACCCTGAGAATCGGAACCACCAGTTCTCCCACCGCGACTCGACCCACTCGACCAACCCGACCGGTCCGTTGGTCGAGTGCGAGGCGGTTCCGGAGAGGCCCGGCGTTGCCGTCGAACGACGGCTTCGGCGCGTGGGGGACGCTGGCCGGCAGGTTTGGGCCCGGAGGTTTGGGCGGATCTTGAAAGGAAGAAACAGGACCGGTAGGGAGGTAGTGAGGTAGCAATATTGCTGTCTCATGACTCACTCAATTTGATTGAGTCATAGGATTGGTGTTTTGACATGTTTTAACATCTCACTATCTTGGGCGAATCTTTGCAACTCCCTGCCAAGTCTTCAAATATCGTCTGAATCTTGCTACTATAGTAGGGATGCCCTTGCTAGTAGCTTCTTGCTCCTAGTAGAGATGCCCTTGTTACTAGTAGTTTCTTGCTACTAATTCGTTTGCACACTGTCATCCGCTTCGCCGTGCCGCACACAGCAACGTCTTTGGACCTTCGGGAGGCTCAACAGGCGCACCAGCAGGCGCAGCGCCAGTCACGGCGCGCCACGAACTTGCCGCAGAAATGGACCACCGAGCAGATGGAGAGGCCCGACGACTGAGTAGTCCTGCGTTCAGAGCGTCCTGGAAGAGTTGAGCGATCTCGCCGCTAGTCATAGCTGGTCATAGCTAGTCTGAGTCTGGTGGATCCCGTGGAAGGTCGCCACAGTGGTCGGGATGCCCAATAATTTTGTTAAGGATCCGATCTGTCGATACAGTAATTATGTATTATAATGATCATTGTTATTCTGTTGGTGTAAGAAGCAAACTTGACATGAATCACGTCGTTTTGACCATTTGCCTTTGGTGCGAGAGTTGTGGCAACTTGTAGAAAGCGTGTTGTTGGAGGCCAGGGAGCTTGGGGTGAGAACGATTCAAACAGCTGGAGCAGTTGAAAAGGATCACTCCTGGTTTTAGCGACCTTTTGATCGCCTGGTTGGGTGTCCCGTTTTAAACAGTCACTTAGGGACTCCAAAAAGGACTTTGAAGAAGTGGTCCGATGAATCCAGTTGCCACTGCTTGTAGTTTAGCCAAGGAGTCTGACAACCTTTCTCAAAATCACTTGCTTCAGGGCCTTTCTTGATCATTCTGATCTTAAGGCCTTATATAATGTGATCACACTGGAAAACACTTTACTTACTTCCATCATTGGCACCTGTAGTCAGTCTTCCACAGATCTCTGTCCTCATCGGCTTCTCTTCAAACCAATTCCGCTCATCACGAAAGGTAGCCCTTTAGGGGATACCTTGAGTTTGTCTTGCGAAGCAAGTGTTGGGACGTCCGGGTCTAATAATTGATCACTCAATTCAAACCGGAATTGATTTTCAATACAGACCCCCCCCTCTAAATTCAATTCTCTCCTGGAGAACGTCTTCGTGAGCCTCTCATGATTTCAGGATAGTCTTGAACATTTAGAAAGAGTGCATATGAAATTCTAATCACGAAAGGTGTTCCCCGAGGGGATACATACCTAGAGTTTGTTTTGTGAAGCACGTCAATTCTCTCCTGGGGAGCGTCTTCGTGAGCCACTTATGGTTTCAGGATAGTTCAAATCCTATGATGCTCCGATTCAATGCTCACCGATGATCTGATCCATGGGGCAAGCTTGTTTTCCTAAGAATTTTTTTTGAACATTTCCAGAGCATATGTTTGAACAATTAGAGTGCATATGAACATATATATTTACGATTTACGAAAGGTCGCCTCCAAGGGGATAAATCACCATGTCGAACATTGCATTTTTGTTCCTGCTTCTCGCGTTCTCTTCTCTTCCCGCTGTCCTACCTTTCGTGTCTCCCTCCTCTCAAGTCCGGCTCCGCTCATCCTCCGCGCGCCAAAAACCCTCGGCAACCAGCGTGCCAGGACGGAGAACAGCAACGAGAACTCCGACGGCAGCTCCTGGGCCTCGGGCAACTCCTCGGTCACCGTGGTCCCCAGGCCACGCGGCACGACGGCACGGCGGCACGGCGCGCGCCAGCGGATCGAGCCGTTCGCTTTTGGGACCGGGCGGCCAAGTGGTGCTTTCGCGAGCCGGGGGGTCGGAGGGGCGAGGACGGCGGACGTTGAACGGACTGTCCAACCAAGTGGAGGAATTGATGTGATTTGATCCGTGGATTAGATGATGAGTGGGAAGTAGCAGCTTGGATGTATGGGATGGTGGGCTTGGACAGTGAACCAGCGAAGACCAGTGAAGGAAGTTAGCCTTGCAACTGGGAAGTTGTTCGCCGCAGTGACAGACATCCTCAGGTTGGGCATCCAGCGATGGATTTCTTATAGCGCCACCAGCGGCGCCAGGAGTGAGCACACAACGACGGGCTCACCACAGCCGACCAGTGACAGTAGCAGCAGTGGCCAGGGGACTCAGATCAACGGAGTGATGATAGGTGACAGGTCTACAGTGATGGGGAGTTTGGATGAGTTTGGGAGCTTTTGGCAATTGGGGAGACCTCCCGGACGTTCCGAGCCCTATGTGGAAGAAGGACAATAGCTGTGAGCAATTTTTGGTGGATACAATGTGTGTTATCATTTGTTGATTTGTCTAACGTCTTTTGAGCATCTGAGACCTGTCGCCTTCCCACAAGGGTGAGAGCAAGGACACTCAGGTATTTCATCATTTGGCCTTTATTGTCAGCAGGTAAGGAAGACACATCTATTCTCTCTTGTGCTAGACTGATGCACACGTAAAGCTTATGGCACCCTTGCAATTCTGGCCCCAGTGGCACCAATCACATATTCTGATTGCAAAGCAAATGGATCATATACCGATACCCATTTTCGCAGTTGGCCTTAGGATCTGGTCGATCAATAGCCCACCCTGATCCATTGAACAGAGGTGTTTGGGGACCAACATGGCCATGCCAGGTTTCTACATCACAACCACTTTTCGACCAATTCTGGGGTCACCCTTCCATTCGCTGGTCCTTTTCAGTGTTGCAGAGATGTGCAGAGCAAGATTTTGTGACATCACGATGGTTTGCTTTTAACCCGAGTCTCTTCAAAAAGGTAGGTCAGTGGCATACTCCGGACCTGGCCATGAGTCTCACTCCACACACCGCTGCCAACACGAGCGCCTGAGAGGCGCCGCCAACACCGAAAGCGCCGCCGGGGCGCTTGTTGCTGCGCCCGGATGCGCCGGGGTTGGAGGGGCGGCTACAGTGTCAGTGAGGGTCAGAGAGAGGAAACAGAGGGGACAACCAAAGGACAACAAAAGGAACACATGTTTCAACCAGGACCCTCCAGTCGGGGTGCCCTGTCTGGAAGCCTAGGCCGGTAGTGTGGGGTAGTCCAGCCAGGACACCCCGAAAACGGAGGGTCCAGGAAGTGAAATTTGTTGATGTTGAGGAACTGGTGAACGAAACCTATCCCAAACACTCCGTGGAACTGGAGAGCATTTTCCTATAGAAACGGTTGACCCCCCGAACCAAACCACACCAATTACATTGGTGTCCCATGTCAGTCCCATGTACGTCGTGTTTTGGGTATTGATATGTATTGATCATCAGAATCGAGACCTCAAACGGATTCTTCCAGCATGAGGCCAATGCCTCTACAGGCACGGCGTTTCGGGTGGGACATCGCGTGGGCCTGAGCGCTGTAGGGTTTGGTTCGAGCGCTGTATCCCAACAGCATCCAACAGCGATCTAGGCACTTTCAAGTGAAGGGCATCAAGCAATGAAGGTGCCAACTACATGTATTGGTTCGAAATAGGTGTGACCCCCAACTAAGGTTAGTGCTCAGTTTCTTTAAACTCTGTAGACTGTAGCAAACTTAATTGAGGGTGCTCCCCAAATAAGTGTTCCAACTGGATCATGACTCCAAGAACAACGCGACTCGCTGTTATGGTTTTGTACACGACCATGAAAGGCTAAGAAAGAAGGAGAAAGAAGCCACCCCAACTTCTTGTCAATGTGAAACAACTCTAAGAAGTTCTAAGGCTGTGTTGGCATGATTCGGTCGGCATGATTCGGCGCTTGGATTCGGCATCAGTCGACCAATTCCGAAAACAGGCACCGTGCGGAACATGGAACGTGTCGTCGCAGATGTCCGACACGGAATGGATGTGGCTTCATCTTGGGGGCCAAACGGGTGGCAACCATCTCGCAAGAGTTTGACCCGTAGATGTGTTGCAGGAAGGAACTGTTCCACGCAGGATTCAGATCCCAGACACGACCCGTCTGGAACTGCCATGTCGGACTGCCTTCAAAACGGCCAGGGGTGGTGCCAGGGGGGCCAATTGATCGGCAGATATGGCAGTCCCATGGAGTGTCTGGGGATGGATGTTTTGTACACCTCCAACAAACGGGCCCTCCATGGCAGGGGTCGGACCTGATCCTCCAGCGAGTTTCTGGGTGAACCAGACCCAAACCAAACACTGAAGCTGAGACAAACGAGGAGTCAGGACTCCCATCTCCAAACCCATCGATTCAGCATCCAAACCGGTTTTCCGATGTAAACAGCACGAGGCGGCAGTGTGTACCATGTAAACACATATTATGTGTATGCATGTTTGGAAACAGAATCCAATTCTTTCATCTTCACTCATCTGTTTTGTGCCCCTCTCTTCCCCTCCTTTCTCGGCTTTCCGCGCACGGGGGGAAAACACGTGACACCCGCGAGGCGCCACTGAAAGCCTCAGCAAAGGTCGGCGAGGGCAGAGGAGCGGGCAGACAGGTGGGAGACGAGCTGTGCGTGCTGAGAGGTTGGTGTTCATAACGGATGTTGGAGGTGGAGTGATGGTGGGGGTCGAAGTGTGAGGGTCCCAGGCGAAGCAGATTGGATCGAAACTCGAAGCGCCCGATGTATTTTCGATTGAACAATTGGTTCGGGTTTTGGTTATAGACACAAATCCTTAGAAGTCCAAGGGCCAAGTTAAACCTGGTCTTGACCTCGTTGAGTACTGGTTATGCATGACCGGACCTAGTCAAATGAGGTCCTTGACCTGTAGGGATTTCTGGTTGATCAAGTCGTCACTATCATCCTTGCGGGTCCAGCGAATCTCTCGATTCCTCCGGCGCTCGTTCCGTCACAACGAGGTAACAGGACATGGTTTTCGGAGCGGGCCGCTGTCTGCATGTCCTAACTGTGGGAACCCTCTTCAGAAAAAGAACACAACTCTTGAAGCAAAGATCCCTATGCCGCTCCACCGACCTCGCACGCATGCAGCAAGCCGATGTTGGAACCACACCCCTCAACAAAGAACCTCACGAAGGACCCGGTCCCATCCCCATCTTCGCCGTGAGGACCTCGTCCGGTGGCGATCTGGAGCAGGCGCGCAGCGGCGCAGCGGCGCGCAGAGTGCAGCGGCCCCGTCGTTATTGTTTTTTTTGTTTCCGCCGTTGTGCTGTGCAGAACTGTGGCATGTTCAGACGCATGCGCTCCAAGAAGGGAATAGTCTACTATACTTGATAGTCTATATAGTTGATACTACTGGGCAAGCGAAAGTCTGAAAGAAGGAACCACAAGAGTTCGACAAGGAAGGGAGATGATGATCTTGCGTCTCGCAAGATGGAGGAGCCCCAAAAAGGGAAGCAATGAGTCCACCAGGTGTGACGGGTTTGTCGCATCTTTTCGGGCTGACACTCAAAGGAGATCAAAGTAATTGGGCACTGAATCACAGTCGAATTGGAGTAACCATGGAGGAACCTCCTGTCCGATGTATGTCCAGAACACTCTCTGGCCACGAACAACACCTTCACTTCCAGGCCACCACTTTGCTCATCAGCAACATGCCGATCTACTTGACCCAAGGCACCTGACAGCTGCTTGCGCAACGCGCAACCCGCCACAACTTCAGCAGAGCTGTGCTCCGCCGGGTACCATCACGTATTGACCAACCATGACTGCGGAACACCAACGCCTGACAGGTCCTTCATGATCCGACAGGGATTCGAGAGTTTTGAGACCGTTACATTTCGGGAACGCAATAGATGTCCGTCGATCTACCTGTTCGTCCCTCACTGTGGTTTGCCCATGACTCTTCATGGAGTTACATGAAAGATTAATATTTATGGTGCAAATGGTTGGATCGTCCGTATTTGCACACTTTATTTTGACTTTATTTTGCTAAAAGCAAAGGCCCCACGAATGATGCTGTCCCTCTGGTATGCCAGCTCAGCAAGCTCCCCAAATCATCATGAATTCGACGAAACCTCTCTTGACTCGGCCATTTCAGGATGCAGTTTCTCACATTGCAGTTCTACCTAACGGCCAAATCCCTCCTCCATTTCATCCTCCATCCTGGACACGACCAAACACGACACAGGTGCCTTGCTGTCTATGTTTGAGGAGAGACCGCCGGTCTTAGCCGCCGAGCCGAGAGACCCGCCGGCGTAGCGTAGCTGGCCGTGGGTTTCGCTGAACTGAGAACAGAGGATGTCGGTTTATAGGGTGGGATTGATTGGGCTTTTGTTCGATGCTATTTTGATCATGCGTGTACTGGATCAAGGTGGATCTAATATATAATCATTAAATTCATGTAAATTGCTGTAGGCTGTATGTGTTTGTTTAAAATAGATGTTTTTTGAAGCTTTGTTCATGGATGTGTGTGTTTTGTTGTTTCGCCCGGTAGTTCACAGGATTTCACCATGTTCACTGCAAAACATCGCTGTGTTCACGTGCCGAAAATGCTTCGCACTGTTCAACCTAGCTCACTGGACCTCCAGCCTCCTTGGTGTTTGGCATTTTACTACTTTTGTTTGACCGATGATTGGCATTTTGTTCTTAAGTGAATCAGTTCCCTATTGGATCCACTGCCACCTGAGTGACCGGTGATGTGTTCGACACTGTGATACGACCGACGGCACGATCCAGTCGTACCTGAGCTTCGGTGGCAGTGGATCCGGGCTTCGAAGTGTTCCACCGACCACGGCGCGGAGAGACGCTCACGGGGAGGATCGCCCGCCCGCCCCCGGCACAATGCCCGCTCGCGGCGAGGACTTGACCACGACCATGCGAGGGAAGTTTGATTTCTTCTACTGTCCATGGGATCACAAGGCACGGTTGGGCTTCTAGGCTTGACGTTTCAGCAGCTTCGGGCGAGACGGAGAACTGCAGGTGTGAGAGTGTTTGCCGAAAGAAGAGACACCTCTTGCTTGGCCATGGTTACTCTTAGTTATTTCATTGATGATCATGTATTCGGTATCAACCTGGTTCTTCCAAGTGATTTTTTGATATTCCTAAATTTAGATCCACCTCCCAAGGAGGTCACGTCGCTACCCTTTGTGAGCTTACGTCGCTTTGGGTACGAAGCGGGTCATAAAGAATGATACCATGCCCCAGACACGACCCATGGGACTGCCATAGGACTGCCGATCAGGCCAGGGGTGGTGTTGGGGGGTCAATTGATCGGCAGTCCTATGGCAGTCCCATGGAGTGTCTACCCTAGACTTCCAAGATCATTAAAACAATGGTTGACCTGGTTTTGGTAGTGTAAAATCCTTAGTTGATTCGGTAACACCTATGAAATTAATGGTTGTTGGAAGGCTATAGGGTCTATAGGTGCATTTAAAAAAACGATGCCACGCATGGCAGGATCGGATCTCCGACGCGGCCGGTGCCGTTTCTTCGCGACGCGGACGCCGGTGCCGTCCGATCGAGATCGTCCAACTATGTCGACGGGACGCTCGGATCCATCCTCGGATGACCTGGATCGGTCGACGGATGACCTGGTCGGTTTGGTTCGTGTTCTTTTCCACATCCAAAACTGGTGGGTGGTCTGACCAGTGGTGCCATGACCCAGTGGGGTCATGTAGTGATTATGAAGGGATTCTGGACAAAATCCATATAGAGGGTGTTTATGTATGAGCCAGCTGCTCTTGTCATAGGCGGGGCACAACTTTGGCTATGCCATCATCAACTTCACGGTGGCAGCCTGAGATCTGCATCTTAGCGCTCTGCACCGTGGCTAGCCGGAGCTTGGCCCAGCTGCAGAGGAGGTGGGTGAAATCTGAATATGGCTTGAATGACGAACATTACAATGAAAGCTGCAAGACCTTTAGCCTGGGAGTCAAAGACTAAAGAGCTTTCTTGACTTCACTAAGGATCCGTATAGAGTCTAAGCCTGGACTTCTAGGCTTTAGCTTGCTCCTTTTGAAAGAAGACCACAGACTTGCTCGCTCTTTTTTGTGTCCCCAACGACCAGTCGCTCCGCCCCCGCACGCGCGACGCGCACCAAACGGCCACGGCCACGGCCACGGCCACGGCCATGCTGTTGAGGACGTCGCTCATGCCAACGAGTTTCAACAACAATGGACCAACAAGGTGGGCGACGAGTGTGAAGACATGTGAAGACATATTCCCAGACACGGCCAAAGAAACTGCATACCCATGGAGGTATCCTCTATGAAATGAGAGGGGTCGTGGTCCCTATAAAGCGTTTCATGCCTCCCCTGCTTGGGGAGTTGGGGTGTCAGTTTATAGATGATGGGGTGGTGTTCCAAGCTTTGTGTCAGCTTTTGCACAGCTGCTTGGATGAGGCATGTTGTAGCTCATGGTCATTTTATGTAAATGTTTGTTTCCTTAGTCTCCTTCAATTCAAGGCCCCTAAGGGGTGATGACCCATCACTTTATATCTATAAAATGAGGTTCCATAACCCCCCACTAAACCTCCATAGGGATGAAACTGCCATGTCGGACTGCTCCATCGACCCCCATGGCACCCCTGGCCGGAACTTGAAGGCAGTCCGACATGGCCACCTATGGCAGTCCCATGGAGTGTTTGGGATTGGACAGGATTGCGGGAAATTGCGGATGGCATATAATATAGAAAAACATCTCAAACATTGGAGACATTCATATGAGGATTGGACCCATATCGTTTGGGTCGGCCCTTTTTCCTTCTGCGTCAACAACATCGGTCCCATGCACGGTGGGAATGAGCACGTCCTTCCCACCTCCGTTCCCGACCTGGTGACCGGGTAGAAGGGTTGACCATGGTGTTGTATACATGACATCCCTGGTTCTTCAGTGAACTGACCGAACTTGAGATCCTGAGTTCACTTTTGAGACTCCCTTTTGGGTCACGAAAAGGAACCCTTTTTCAGGTCACCTGGAAGAAGCTGGTCAATGGCTTATGACAATGTCACGCAATTAATTAATTCATTAATTATAATATATTAATATATTATAATACATAGCCTATATAGGGATCCAATTCCCATCAACATCGAAAGGGTCCGGAGATCCGGAAATCAGGTGAGAAAAGCTGACGTCCCGCCACGCGACACATGACGAACATGACGGTCATGTCATTCACGTCATGGTTTGATCAGCACACCCCAGCAAAACATGGAACACGCCAAATAACATGGCCTTAGAATTGCTTTTGCAATTCTCAGACTATAGGAATTGGTTGAGTGCATGTTTGCTTTGAAAGAGCCCGTCATGGCAACTGATGCTTGGACCAAATGGAGCCTGGTCTTCGTCACCCTGGTCGCCAGGACCTCTTTCGCTCTGGCCGTGGCTCCAAAACGATGAAAGTGAGCAAGGCACAGCGAAGAGCGACCAAGAGCGGATGGAAGAGGAGACCTCCAAGCCTCACCCCCCTATCGCCTCAAGTAAGTCAAAAGAAGACAGTGTCACGTACCTTATCCATTGCATTGTGTCATATCCACCCAACGACTTGTAAACTGCCAAGCCTCACCATGGCCGGCGCCGGCGCTTGCCTTGCATATATCTCCGGACCTTCTTCCATGTCCTTCTCAGAGTAGGTTTTTTCATGTAGCCTGGGTGGGTTAACTCATAGCAGGGCACACCTCGTCAGCCGCCGATCCCCGATCCCCCTTAAACACCATTCCGGACCCTCCAACGGCGGCGAAGCGTCGCGCGACGGCTAAGCGCGCCGGCTGCGCCGGTTCGGAGCCGGGACCGGCCCCAGGCGACGCTGCAAGGATTCGACGCGAACGTGGACTACTTCCGAAAGGCTGAGATTGGTGGGCGTTGCCGGGCCCGGGGCACCCGGCAGACCCGGCAGCTGCTGCGGAGACAGGGTGGGGGTCTACAGGAACGGTAGGAGACGGTACCGCAAGAACGGAAGATGAAGCTTCGTTTCGGTGGGACGACCGGTGGGTGCCAAAACGTCGGGTCCAGGAGCTACCGAACCTGAGGAGGTATGACTGGAGCTTTGGGGTAAGGAAGATGGTTTCGTGGTCGACGGTTGATGAGTTGCATGACCTTTTGAGGGAACAGATTGGTAGTCAAATCTGCAGAGAACACCATGGGTGGAACGCGCCTGGAACTGCAGAGCCTCTCAAGAGACCGCGTTCCTGGAACTTGAAGATCCACTCGCTTCGAAGAATTCTGGCGTCATCTTCAAGAATTCGTCTTTTTATGTATTCCTGAACCCTTGAAAGTGCAATAATTTCTGTACGTTTGGCATTTCTATCCTTTTGGGCCGTTTGGAACACTTCAATGCCAATCTAAACGATTCAAGCCAAAACTGTACACCCCAAAGCAATACTGGACGCTTTCTTAAATGACTCCCACCAGCAAGCACATCTATGCTTGGTGCAGGATCACCTATGTATGTACGAATCTTTGAGCCATACGAGGAGTTGATCAAGAGTTGTACGATACAATATCATGACTTTGGCTCTTTGAGTGTGTAGTACACTTCTAGCCAATTGCCACCCTGGGTACTTGTCAACCTACAGGATATGGTGAAACTTCAAGATTGCCGTATGTGGCAAGCATTCACACTAGTTTGCTCCATCCCACGAGCTCCAGGTCAAATCTTCTCATGATGGTAGGCCATTAAATTGCTAAATTTGAAACTGTACAGAAATCCCACTTTGTGCACTCTTGCGGGGTTTTGCGTACTTTTTGCGGATATTTGCGTATTCTTTGCGGACATTTGCGTACGCTTCTTTTGTGGTTGTGCAGGGAAAAGTGTGACCATGTATGAAATATATTGAAAGCTAGTATTGAATCCACACCAAAACATGCATATGGCATGTGGGATTTCATTTGGCAGCTCATTGACAGATCATGATGGATCTATATAATTATGCCAAAGAAACACCAAGTTAGGTGTCAAAATCTGTGACAGGATGGACAGGTGTAAAAAGAATTGATAAGCATGGATTTGCACATCTATCGTCTATCGTCGATCGTGTTTCTTAAGAGGTGATTCTACAATGGAGATCATGCGTATCTTAAAGCCAAGCATGGAGTGGTGAAGAATCTGCTCTTGATATATGATCTTGTCCTCCACTCAGTGATTTCTTCACGTTTGGACCAACTGGAACATTCAGCCCGCTTTTCAGGATTTGCGGCTTTTTGCGTCTTTTTGCGTTCACAAACCCAACAGTTCAAAAATTAGTAAACTCTTCAGGGTCCAGGTTATGTCTAGCTTGCGTTTTGGGAGATTTGGGGAGAAGGCTGTGAGAGGGAAGTGCATCCGAAGGGTTCTGGAGGCAGTGCTTTTTTCAGGTGTTTTCCCTTTTTTGTTGGAGATAAGGGCCCCCCGAATCGGGCCATGCCATTGAACAACGCACGCAGTTTTGTGGACTGAAACATGTTGCTTTTCAGACAGAACCCCTTTGTTCTGCCCCCAAATCCTGGGGGTACTGCACGGTGTCCAACCAAAAGCCCTAAACAACGTCCGCGTTGAAGCGAGCGATCTGAGGATCTTCGCTTTCGGCCGCTTTACCGAGATGGCGAAGGCGCAAGGGCGATGCGGATCAAGTCCCAGACACTCCATGCATGGTATGTATGATATGCCTACATTGACCCCCCCAAACCACCCCCAATGTATGTAGATATGGTAGTCCCAGTAGTCAAACACGTCGTGTCTGGGTGGAGTCATGAATCATGCCGAGTAGACACGACGTGGGGACTGACATGGACTGACATTCAAGTGGCCCGTTTTGAAGCGGGGCCAATGTAAAAAATCCAGGTGGCTGGAGGATATCGTTTCTTGTCGAAATTTGTGCGACCCACCTTGGCTGGCTAAAAGGTCAGGTCGGCGGTCGACCTCCATGTCGCACGTCAATGAAGCTGTGGAACACGTTCACCAAGTGCGCTGGCGAACTCGCCAAGTCAGTGCGCTGGCGCACCCCCAAAAACAGCATCTGAGCAGCTCAGCCGTTCTTCACCGTCGACGGTGTTTTTGTTGGGGGGGTTCGGCTTGCTCCTTTCACCAGGCCCAAGAACTGGGGCTCTGTCAGCAAGTGGGGGGGCACTCCAAGGTACTTGGCCAACTGGTGAAGTTTTGCTTGGTGTTTCCCATCCTTTCAGAGAGCTTTCGGGTTGAATCATCTTGAAGTCAGGGACAGGACATGGACATGGACCTGTCATGTGGGCAGGACACTCACTTCAACGTTCAACGGCCAGGTAAGCTACAACATTTAGAGCTGGCTTTGCCTGGTGGCGTGCAGCCACGCAAGCCGGGAGCGGCTGAGGCGTCGTGCTTTCATGGACTCTAGAGATCTGCATGTAGCGAGCTGGGTAGCTGTGTGGGAGCTGCTGGTTTGGACATGCTTGGATGAAGCTTCACATCTAGCCTAGATTGAGCATGGCATGTGGCACTTGTTGCAAGAGACTGATACTTAAATCATTTTGGGTCCGTTCTTCTTAGCTTGTACATCGATGTACATCGCCATCCAGCGCTCATGATCCTGACCTTTCGCAGGGTGACAGTCACTTGAATTGGGTCGTCGGGCTAGTCACGGCGACTTAGTCCACTCAATCAATCACTATAGGTCCTAGGTCTTGCATCATGCGTCATCATAGCAGGACCTTTAAGGGGTGGTTGATGGACACCCCTTAACAGCTAAGGGGCTATGAATAGACACCCCTTGGAATCCCGATAGAGGGTGCTGGTATGGGTCTTAATCTGAGTAGCCCTTCATTCTCCACGGGGCGTGGCTCGCACCTCGCGTGGACGCTGACGGTGTAGGTGAACCATCACCTGAGGAAGGTGACCCGAGCGGCGGACATACCCAAAGGCGGTGGACCGGTACCGGGGGTCAACCGGTACCCGTGCGGGGTGCACACGTGGCGAGGGTTCGATGGAGATTCCGGAAGCTGCACACATCTGTGTGGGGTGCACACGTGGCAGGTACAGTGACATGGGGGTTCCACTCGAATCTCCTTTTCAAGACCCAACTGCACTGCTTGAATCATGGGATAGAAATAACATGAAATAGCAGCAACAGACTCCCAGTCCCACGACCGCCATCTGGGACTGCCGTGCGTCGGACTGCCTCCGAAAGGCAAACCCACCACCCCTGGCGCCCCTGGCCGTTTCTCTCGGCAGTCCGACATGGCAGTCCCAGACGGGTCGTCTATGGGACTGAACCTATATCCAACATCATAAAGGGCCCGGGTGGTGTTTCTAGTCCCTAAGTGAGTGGATCATGGGAACCCCTACACTACGCACCCCTTTGTGACTCCTGGATTTGTGTTTATAGCGATCGGTCGGGTTTGTGACGATGTGACTGGACCGGATGGGTCTATAATTTACTTGTGGACGGTTTGTTCCAGAACAAGACGAGGCAAAAAGTGGATCTGGCCAAGGGCGATGCTTGAATACCTCGGGATATACCTTGGATTTGGATGGTTTTGAGAGCCTCAAAAATCAAATGACCCAAAGACCAGGGTCTCAATCGACTGTTAGGCTGTTGTCATGGCCGAAACTGGGGGCAGAGGTAGATTGGTTCTGCTTTTCCGTTCCGGCGGTCAACCGGGTCGGTTCCGGGCCGAGTCTGGAGAGCCCGGGGGGATACCAGTATCCACGTACGAGACATGAGGTGGACAGCTCGGTATCCACTCGATCCGGGATCCAGACCCTCCAAATCCTTGGAAAGGGAGGGAGGACAAGGGGTTTGGTCATCACCTCTGAAGTGACGAAGTGGGCATTGATCACGGAGTTTTCGTCACGTCGCAAGGGGTTTGGTTGGAGTTCCCTCAGCTCGTCCAATCAACTGTTCCTTACCCAAAGACTCCATGGGAATGCATGCCGCCTGTAACCTATATACATGCGGCCTGTGACCCCCAAGCCCCATCGGCCTGGGTGAAACGTTCAGCTCGGTTCGATATCAAGACCAAACCTGAGTGAATTTGTACCCGGTAGCAACCACTGTTCATAAAGACCAGCACCAAAATATACAAAAGTCTCCCTGACCGCTACCAAGTGTTCCCTCCAAAAGTCTCTCACAAAGCACCTATATAGACATTCCAAGACCCTAGGCCTCCAGTCGTACCTTCTGAGAAGGTGTTTGGGGTGGGTTTGGAGGGTCCAAATACCTTCTGAGGAGGTACTTGGAGGTGTAGGGAGATGGTGGTCCAAATACGAGATGATTTCATGGGCTGGACGAACGCGCTGGAACCATGGTGCATCATGGTACACTTTGCTGCAACTGGCAGACACAGCTCTCCCCCCCAAAAAAATCACGAGAAACCAATGTTTTCATGTTTCAATTTGCTCGCACCAGAATTTCTCCACGTCCATGCAAAACAATGCTAACACGCACAATCCAGAGTGTCCCCCCCAAACCAAAGGCACAGGAACTTGCCGCCGGTTCCACGTTCTCACGTTCGTGCGCAGAACCTGACACCGGACAAGGCGGTGCGGAGCCCAGTCTCGACCGGTCGGTCGACACCGGGGGCCGTCTGACCGGGCCGAAACGACGAGGCAGAAACCGCCACAGAAACCAGCATCAGAAACGGCATGAAAAAGAACGTGTGGTTTTTCATGCTTTGAATTACAAGGTCACTGCTTGACGTTGTGTGTATTAGACGGAGTTCCGAACAAAGCTGCAGTTTCGACACACGCAGCGCCACACGCAGCGCCGCGCCTCTAAACACCATGCCCCTCTCGGTACACCGAGGGTCGTGAGCCGGTGGGGGTCGGCGAGACGGGCTCCAGGTGAAAGCAAGAAGGCTGCGGTCTTAGGCTGGGGGAGACGGGAAGATGGTGAGACGGTGAGCCAACACCCAAGGTTGGCTCTGACCGCTACTGGGCGACTGGTGGAGTTTTCTTCATCGGTGCCATTTGGGCGGAGTAGAGTGCAGAAGCGTTTCAATTAGAGGAACTACAACAACAAATGGCCGAATTCATCAGCACATTGCCAGAAAATTGAAGTAACCAAATTGCGTATACCTCCTGAAGTCATCAGCAATTGGCCTAAGATAGCCAATCCAACTCAACAACGAACATCTTGAGCAACATGGTGTTTGTGTGTGTTTAAAAAAAAATCTAGAAGCGATGCACTTGTTTCTACTAGCGTGGCACTTGTTACTAATGAGGAGCCATTCACCCCCCCACGGTCTGTGAGGACGGCATGTGCGACCTTTTAAGATGCTCTAATCGAAGACTGGAGTTAACCGGTGGCGACCAGAATCGATTTGATCCGTTTGCCTATCATGTTAGTAAGGGTGCTATATCCCAGACACGACCTGTCTGGGACCGCCATAGGACTGCCGCCTACATTGACCCCCCAACACCATGGAGCGTCTGGGTGCTAGATTGACGCTACATAGCTGCTACATAGCTATTGACGTTCGTGGATTGGATGGCATATTATGCTGACTCACACAGTACCTATGGGGTTCGGAACAATAGCAGTACTGGTAGCAATAGCAATGAGCATCCGTGTGTTCAGTGGGTCTTTCACAGTGGATTGGTGTATAGGTCCGATTCTCCATCAAGTGAAGTGTGAGAGAAAAGCGCATCTGGCAAATCGCTACACCCACACATTCTTTCCAAGTGATTCTCAATTTGTATTAATGGCCATTCGATGAAGTTCCCAAACACCACGACACACCATGATGTGAAGTTCGACGGATATTTGATATCTTACCCAGACACGACTAATGGGACGGTAACACCGGAAATCAACCACCCGGACGCTCCGTGGGACTGCCATAGATGCCGATCAGTTGGGGTGGTGTTGGGGGTCAATTGATCGGCATATATATAGCATGAAATATAGTCCCAAGCACGTCATGTCTGGGTTAGATACCCTGAAGATCTTCCCAACGCCGAAACATCGCTTGGGCCGGACATGACGGTCGCCTTTGCACCTATAAGGCGTATCCCCCAGTGGTCTCCCCGTAACCCCTCGTGTGGCGTATCCCTCCAAGTGCTCGCCACGCGACGCGGGGCGCGCGCTCCAAGAGCATCACCCAGCGCTCTTGGAGTCTAGAGGCCATACGTTTTGTATGGCAACAGTGACGGTCCGTGACTTTTTTCAGCTGCTATCGTCTACTACGCATGTTGAAGCCGGAGCACTCCCTTCTTCAGTTCGTGACCCCGTCTTCTCACCTGGTTACCGAGGTTACCGGTCACTGAATTCGAGCCTGGTTGTGACCGGTCGCTGAATGTGACGAAACCAAAAAGGGTCGCTTTAAGGAGCCGTGATGACTTGATGTTGATATGTACCAGCTGCTTCCGGTGCTGGCAAGGGGTCACCTGGCTGGAGATCTCCACACTACGGTTCAACTCAGGTCTCCTACAAATTGGGGCACCCTTCCTTTCTTAGCGCGAAAAAAGGTACTAACTGTAAAACTGCAATATCTGATACTGTATACAGTGCCAAGTCACGTCACGGACCGGGTCCGGTCATACCGAACCGCTTCGTTCGGTACGAGCGACTGCAGGGACCGGTGTCCCGTCCGACGTCAGACCGACGGTCAGGTACGTCCAGGCCGGAGGAACGCAGCCGAAGCCAGGCACGGTCGTTCGGCGTCGTTCGGAACCAAAAAGGGTTTTGGGGAAACGAATCGTAGGAGAAGACCGGTACGTGTTTTGGTTGTGTTTTTTTGTGTTTGGTTTGTGTGTATTTGTTTTGTTTTCCTGAAACAAAATAGGACATGAACAGCAAAACAAAACAGGGAAGTGGTTCAATGTATTGGCCGAATCTGGTCTATGTTGGCCTTCTTGAGAGGTTAGATGTTAGATCATTTATCGTCATGTCTTGGGGGCAGACTTTGGCCTTCCCTCATGCCATCTCATGACCCTTTTTTTCCGGGTTCAAAGTAGGTCAAATCCAAAGACCCCAAAGCAGATGTTTTGCAGATTCGCTAGTTCGCATGCCCAACTGTAGACCATGTTGTTTCGGCCTTTTTGTGATTTCAGGGGTCAACTGCCGGCAAAAGAATTTCGCAGATCTTCGGAGTGTTTGGCATGGCAATTATGTTTGTTCGAAGCTTTCAAGATCGATCCCTTTTTTAACTTGGTTCCTGCTTGCCTTTGTTTTCGGTGGAGTTTCCCGTGAGTCAATCCATGAGTTCGCCTGACCACGTCGCGGTCGTGGTCAGGTGGAAGAACGTCGTGGTCGCCCACGGAAGCGAAGGCCGAGCTTGAACGGACATCGAAAGGGGCCAAGCCCGGGAGGATGTTGCGGGGGAAAGAACGTCGACTTTTTGTTGGTCATTTCTACTTCAGCAAGTAGGAACCAAGGGCATCGCTACGAACGGCAGCAGCGGAGCAGGCCGTATACGAACAAGAAGGTTTTGCTGAAATGGAGTTTGGATTGCTTTATGGTTTGTACTGAGGGTGCACCGTCCACTCACTGGATGGGACGGTGTACACCACTCCGACCTGTGACCCCATGGCACCTGGTCCTTCAGTTCGTGACCGAACTTGATACTTTTGATCCTTTGAGGTCACAGAGAGCCTTTGAAGGTTCACGAAAAGGAAGCCTTAAAAGATCATTTTGAAGGAGCTGGTACTGTATAGGATGCTGTAGGTAATTTGTCTCGCTCTGCACAGGAGTCAGCATGCTGCCAAGAGCATTCGCATGTTCCGTCACTTATAAGTTATAATCCTTGTTTATGCCCACGGGGTCAAAAGCGACGCCATGGTGAGAATGCAATTATCGAACATTCTGTGTGGTATCATTTACATCATTTCGTAGTACTCGCAGGGCCTCTGGGGAGAGCGTTAAGTCTGCAAAAAGTAGATTTTGTTTGGTGGTGTTGTATACAGTTTTTGCGCACTTTCTGTTGTCACCGGTGTCAGAAGATAGATCTGGAATCGGGCGACAGGTGAATCTCAAACGAAGATGATGTTGGATGAGACCTGGGGGGGTGGGGGGGGTGACACGAAGTGCAATTGCAGTGGATTCCCTTGGAAAGAACACGGTCTCGAGAGCGGTCCACCGGATGTGCACGGGACGGGTCCTGACAAGTGCGGCATGGCATGCGCGCAAGCAAGCTATTGGTTGTTTCTCTCAGGCTTGGGCCAAACATGTAAGTCATGCACTATGAAGAGTGAGACCATACAGTAATTGAAAAAGTAATTAGTCACCAAAAGGAAACAGGTAGGTTGGGGGGTGATTTCGTTCTTGGCTGATTGGAAACGAAGACAATGCAGCACTTGGATGATCTGAAGATGCATTTTCACGGGAAGAATCTGCGAGAATCTGCGAGCCTACGATTTATTGATGTTTGGGTCGATGAATATATTTCTTTTTTCTACTTCGAATGGCTTATGATGATTCTATTGAATGTGTGGCCCCGTGAGTTTTTTCGTCGGAAGGATTTACACATGTTCATTTCGTGCTCTTCGTTCGTTTGGAAATATGTGAACCTTTTCCTTCGCTACAAAAAAAATCGTTCGTTTTGCAAAAGTGCTCGTTCAAGCAAAAAAACGCTACAAGCACACAAAAATCGCACGTGGATCCCTCTCATATCCAATCCATGTTGCGGTGGTTCGCCACTTTGTAATTTGCGCTCGTTTTGTGGCAATTTAGGCGCATTTTGCGGGCATTTTAAGGGTTTCCACCTTTGGCCCAAGAAGACTTCAGTGTTCAACATTTTGAAAAAATGTTTGTTTCATTTAAAATGTTCATTTCATCAAAAAACGCTACGAAACTCCTGCTCATTTCTTTGGTTCGGCGGAAAAAATGCTACGATTGAAGGTTCAGGTATATTTATAAATCTGTGTGATGTAAAGCATGTTTTGAGGCATGTGGTTTTTCCGTCGGGCGGGTATTGAGGTTTGATAGGACCTTGTGGCCCTTATAGCCTTGCAATTCTTCTTCGGGAATAGCGCTTGGAGTATCCACGATGTCCTGCTTGGAAATGATCAGACTTGACGACGACATACTTTGTGGAAGTCAGCAACTTCCTGTTGAGCACGAGGAGTATCAAGACGGGAATGCAAGACGATCCCCGCGTCACTGACGACCCCGTGGCCTTGTTGATCCCTCTTAGAGAAAGAAGCGGATCCAAGACGTTCATTGTTGGAAAGTGTTTGAGGGCTCATGTCGATGATTTTCCAAGGCGAACTCGAGCAGTTTGGACATGTTGATATGATTGTGCACCGTGGGTCGCTTGCGGCGCTTGGTTCATACTTGGTTGAAAAATGCAGGAGGAACCTTGTTTCATGGAGTGATGCGTGGTGTCGGTTGCCTGAAGGCATGGAGTCGGGTGTCAAGGTGTTGAAAGCAAAGTTTCCTTCATCCAACCGATTCCAACCGTGTTGCTAAATCAGCAACAAACTCATTTTGGCCCAAAACGAAGATCGTGTAGTTGGAATCCTCCCGGGGAGTCTTCAAGCACCCTTCGAGACCTAACTTGGGGATGAGGAGCCAGACAGCATTCATTGATGGTGTCGACATAAGTGTCGGCATGTTAACATGGTTAACACCTGCAAACCACCAAAAGCACCAGAAAATGACTGGAGTCTAGAGTCTATAGAGGACTTGGAGGGTTTCCCCCTGAAACAGACGCCTTTGAAACAAAAATAGATCCAGTGGGCAAGTCCAGCTACTACAAACACGTTGCATCCACCTGCGTCCAGCTCTTCGAGGAGACGGTAAACATTGTTTCATGTTGTTTCTAAAATATTTGTTTGTACCATTCCAAGTGCCAGGGTGAGCTACAACCCTTTACTTTGCTGCAAATTGCTGAAATGGCATGACACCCTTTCAGTTGTGACGTAACTGGCACTTCTATGCAGTAAGCGCAAATATAGCACCCTATACGCGGCACCGTATGACCTCGAGTTCGCCAGGCCTGACATGGCCGAGGCGAGCGCTGCGGCCGAGGCGATCGGAGATCGGGCGGTGTCGACTCGTCGACACGGATCCCAGACACAAGCTGGACTGGGACTGGACGATGATTCAACTATATACCAGGGTCATCCGGTGTCCAATAGACTACCCTACCCTTACTTACAGGCCTCCATTGGGCACCCAGACAGGAAGTGCTAGGTACATTGACTCCGGAAATCAAATCGGTTGACAATGGTTGACATAATCCATTGGGAGAGGTTTTACAATCCCCTTCGCACTGCATCTATTGCATATTTAACTAATATATTTCATTGACCCCGGAGCTCCACCACCCCAATTCATCGGCCAATATTAGGGCAGTCCCAGACAGGTCGTGTTTGGGGATGCGCCAGGCATCGTTTTGGGGATGACTTAAGAAGTTTACATAAAGAAAGATTCGTTCCAATTGACTCGAGATGCTCAGGGGAGATCACGCAAGACACATGACGTGAGACACGTTGCAGCAGGTTCAAACGAAATCGCATATTGGCAATAGGGGATCTAAAGGTTGAAGGACTATAGAGCTCCGACGTTTGAGAGCCATGTGGATCCTCATACTGGTCAGACCAAATGTCCGCCATCACTGGCCTCGCCCCTGCTGCGTGCCTCGCTGAGTGCCGTAATCCGGGGTCTTCCCGCAATCCGGGGTGTTGCCTTGAACCATTTTTTTGATGGCTGCATTGATTGAAAGGTTTTAGCTAGAGAAGCTTCTGAACAACTGGTTTGGTGATGCTTAAGAGGGCAAAATGGAACATGATCGATGACATATAACATACAAGATGTGTTTGTTCTCCCTATTCCACAGCTGTTCAATTAAATTGGTAGACCGACAGGTCCCAGGGAGTCAGATCAATCCAAGTTTACTGAGGTCCGAGGTGTCAGCTTGGCGTTGCTTTGCATGCACAGACCCTCCAAAAGACGTCATTGTGCCGATTGTGCCGATCAAAAAGACCTAAAGACCTGCGCAACACGTAGGCGGACGTAGCTTGGAGGCACCACAAACCAAACACTATGGGAGAGTTGAGCAATGTGAGGTCAACGACCAGAGTGAACTGCCCATCCCTTTTTCACTGCAGGCGCCTCCACCCAGCACACCGCTGCCCGAGCAGCAAGAAGTCATGCCAGGCGAGGTGAGAGAAAGGGTGTGGAAAGAGACCTTTCGGAAAGAGATGGATTCATTGGGTTTGTCCGAACTTACCTGTAACAGTCAGTAAACTAGCAAATCATTATTTTGGAACAAGGCCTGCAACCTAACCATCATCATCCACTGGTAATAGGATAGACCCAATGGATTCACATCTTTCGCGGAGAGTCCAGTCATGACTCATTCTACCCCGAACTCGTACTGGTGGATGGATTGACTACCAGGTTTCAGTATAGTTCAGGAGTCAAGTTACGGAAGTTCTGGGTTTGCTCCAACTTTCAGAGCTTTGTGGTGCGTTTGTGATCAGTGAAGTCTTTATCTTGGCTGTTTCCAGAAACACCCAGTGACTTAGGCACGCTTGCTTTGGAACAGAAAACCGGCAGACAAGGGGCGCGATGCGTTTGGAGACAGCACATCGACTCGACGCGGAAAAACGGCTCTTCAGCTCGGATCTGGGATTCAGCACGAGGTCGTCGCGAGGTAGATGGAGGTAGATCGAGACGTTTTGATATGCCCTGGATTTGTCATGGAACTTCCCACTTCCTCCACAAAACGGAAGGAAAAGCCCACTGGTTTGTGGAGGAAGCGGTGTCTGCAGGTTCCATGTTCATAACTTATTTCTCATTGTGTACTTTCACAGAAGTGTTCCCCTGGATATGTGTGTTTCTCAGACGATATCTCTTCTTTTGGAGGATCGATATACTTTTGACCACTCTGTCCCACACGGAAAACAAACAGAAAAATGCATCGCTGCGTTTGACCTGACTTGACTTCCTCCCACGACCGTCGGGACATGAAAACACACCCTCCTGACGTGCGTCCCGCCAGGCGTGCAGCCGCATGACATTTGGCAAAAGATGTCCTTGCAACAGCAACAACAAGAGCTCGGGCCTCACTCCAGAAGGCTCTACTAGAGCCTTATCACAACCGGGCACCTTTATTTAGATCATTTCTGACCAAACACTTGGGCCAGTGGCCCAAATCTCGTGGTTTGGGGAAGACTTGCCAATGTCTTACAGATTCTTACACGTCTGATTTGGGGTGGATTCATGATATCTATGACGATTTAGGCCGTGGGTATGCTCAGCTGAAGAGCACACCTCGTAGTAGTTGAAGAAGTCTCCTCAAGTGGTTCCATCTCTGACATGGGGTTCGGGCTTTGTGGAAGCTTTTCCTGGGTTTGCACATGTCGCAAGAAATCAAACTATCATTAAGTAGATTTCATTGTGTTCGAGGGTCATTTCATTGTATTTGAGGTTGGGTTCTTGAGGTGAATCCTTGTGGGATGTAAGTGGGGAAGCTGACACAGGGAAAGTAACCCCTTCAAGAAAAAGGCAATCGGTGACACAAAAAATGCCCGAATCTCTCTTCGCCATTTCATTCTCGCTCGAACAAGTCTTGAAGTTTGGAGATTGATGACTGCACAGCCAACCCTGGCCACATGAACAGGCTTTGAGCTTTGTTCATTGAGCTCTATTTTTTGAGGTTTGCAAGGTCAAGTTTGTTTTCAACAAGTTTGTTTCAACCACACCCTATTCTAGTGGCGCTCCCTAAGGCTGTGTTGGCATCACACAAAAAGCATAGGCTCTCATAGTAGCCAACTTCACACAAGCCTTAGCACCTCTTGTGCTTTCATACTCAAATCCTTTCGGATAAAATATAGCGGCTTACCTCACAAGTGCAATGCATGACACTGTATCACATAAACACAATCGAACACACAGTCACATAGCTCCATTGGTTGCACCACATGATTCCAATCTGGTGTGCCGAGCCACGTGGTAGCAACTCCTGAGATGGAGAGGTGGGGGGATGGGGGCTGGCAGAAGCAGAACAGAAAGGCTCAAGAAAGAACTTTCAATTCAGGGGTTGTGAGTTGTGGGGATCGATCTTCAGGCACCTTCTGGTGCCTAAGTTCAGGCACCTTCTCTGCCTTCATGTAGGCCATTCTCCAATAGCGAGTCAGCATAGGGCTTGCCTCAAGCACCTGCCAGAATCTAGTTGATGACAAACCATTTGACAAATCAGACTAGTTGATGGCATGGGGGCACTGAACAGCTTGGCCAGACCTCACCTCTTTCGGAAACACGCTTGCAATGCTGGTCCACTTGAGGTTCCCAGACCCCGGGGTGTAGCTGAACATCGCTGGGCATGAATTTGGCTTGACCATGAAGAAGTCTTTGCCTAAGCCCAAAGCGTCCCAAAGCACAATCCTCAAAGCTGAAACAATTCTGAGTGACTCCAATCCATCAAGAACACGGATATGAACCAAGGATCTTTCGTTGGGCGCGACATTTGTAGGCCTTTCACATGAGTGTTGGTGGAGCTTAGTGTCCACCAGGCCTTCCTCTTCGAGTTCGTGCATCAGATCACGCAACGTGCAGGGCTTGGAATCCGTGCATGTCTTGGAGGTTTCACTCTGAACCTCCAGAATCACTTTCGTCAGGTCAGAGGTGATTTTGCACGGGATGATGAAATTCCAAATATTGCCTGCATCAAGAAAAGGACACCCAGCCTATCTAGCAATTCATTGTATTTTTGCAGCAATCTAACACACTCACTTGAGCTTGACAAAGACAGACACCTTTTTACCCCATTCTCACAAAGTCGCCCCGGGCTGTGTGATGCTACTCCATGTAAGGTCGTAGACACGCCCCTACGGCAAACTGTAAGGTCAAAGAATGCTAAAGATTAGTTCTTCTCCAAGGCCCACTCAAACCCATTTCTACACCATCCATGGCATAGAGTGAGTGGGAAGTGTTGGAAAAGCAGCGGCTGACCCCATAGATCTACTTCTTCGCACCCTTGGCGGTAGTGGATCTCTGCTTCCTTTTCCTGGGGATTGGATTCTCTACCAAACGACGTCTGCTAAGTTCAGACTTGGACAGTCCCTTCATCGCGTTCAGACGAAGAGGATGGCTCTTCCACCTGGGCATAAGGAATAAGACTAGCTGCATGTTGAGGTTGTCGATACAACCATTCAGTGATAGTGTGTACCCTGTGTGGCCCACCATTTGAGTGGGGTCCGAGAATGTAGATGAGTGATTGTTATATGCCTGGTAGAGATAACAAAAATGAGTTCATATACCAAATACATCCAAATACATCGAATTCGAATCAATTCAGCTCCATAATCATTGAATGGTTAAGACTGTTAAGATGAGTTGTGCATCCAGGGCACGCTTCCCTGGCTTTTGCAAGGACCTCTTTAGGCTTCATGTCCGGGTTGGCCTTACTAATCTTCTTCTGCGCTTCATGGACCACTTCCCAGTAAATATGATGAAGCTTCTCTGGACCACCCTCACCTGTCTCATGCTCAACGTTCTCACCCTCCTTCTTCTTTCCCTTTCCCGTCTTCTGGTCCTTGTCCCAAAACCCCAAGCTGAGAGTAGGGGACTCCTCGTCTGAGAACTCCTCCTCAGAGTCAAGGGGATTCTCCTCCTGCAGAAACAACTTTACTTCATATAATGGGAATTGGATGGGGTTGATGAAGTGATTTCAGAGACCAAGAAACAAAAAGCCAATCTTTACAACAAACTGGCCTCAGGTTCGTCCATGGTCTCAGGGGGCTCCATGCTCTCAGAGATCTCCCCGGTGGTCTCAGGGCACGTGTTGGTCTCAGGGGTCTCATGAAGAAATGAAAGAAACACAGGCACTCCCCATTTCCATCACTACCACTTTGATACATGAGTCTATTTAAAAACGCAACATCAACACGTTTCACGTTTCCTCGCCTTCCCACCCTTTGCACTCTTGCGGTTTCCTTTTGCTGCTGCCTTGCTCTTTGCTGCCGCCTTGCTCTTTGCTGCCGCCTTGCTCTTTGCTGCCGCCTTGCTTTTTGCTGTCTTGCCCTTTGGTGATGCTTTTGGTTTGCGTGTGGAAGGTTTCCTCGTCTTGCCTTGTCCGCCTTCAGGGGTCTCCTCCTCCTCCTCCTCCCTTTCCTCAACATCCTCATCCTTGCGAGCTTTGCCTTTCGCCTTTGCCTTTGCTTTGCCTTTTGCCTTCGGGTCTACTGTCAAGCTTTGCTTGATTGCCTGCGCAGCTTCTTTGCTGGCTGATTTTTTATCTTTGCCTACCTCTGCCATTTTCTCTGCGATCGACTGCTTCAGCTTAGCTTGCTCCTCCACGGACATTGTGGCTTGAGTGCTACCACCTTTCAGCGCTGAGGCTCGATGCATTGGCAGAGATGGTCTAGCGGGAGGCGTAGCACTGTGTTTGTCACCGGGCGAGTGATTTGTAACCTTGGTAAAGCCATTCGATCACGGAAAACGACCACATGGAAACGGTCACGGTGTATGAATCTACTAAGATTTGATTAAGGAATTGATTCCTGCCGTTGAGAGAAGCTTCAAGTTAAAGAGACAAAGGGTCTGAGACACCAACCACTTGCGATGGTGGAGTCTCAATAGCTCTGGGACTGCTTTGAAGGAACCCCTCCAGGTCCTGAAGGAATGCTAGGACACAAGTGTTGAGGGGGAGTATCAACTTAAACGGGATTACATTGCAAAATCAGAATTGGAGCTTCCACAGTCCTGCTTGATACCATGTTTGGCCAAAATAGAAGCCAGCGACAATTCGGCCATTGATTGATACCGAAAGGAAACGTCACTGATTGATAAAACACTTAGCCGCCCTTCTCTTGAACCAAGAGCATACGTTCAAGGTTTGAGTGCTCAAGACTTGGTGACTCATCGCAACTAGTTCATGGATTTAGGAAGCAAGGTTTCCTCTCAGTAGGCCCGCCTTCACCTGCTCCTGTGTTTTCACGCAGCAGCTTCTGGATGCGATCGGGCTTCAGCCAGGTCGATTTTCCATGAGCAAGCTGGAACTCCTGAGAGTCAATCTCGATGTCTTGGTGGGCAACCTCAGAAACAGGTAGATGAGGGAACTCCTGAAACTGTTCAAGGGAAAACCTAGAGAATGAACCAGATCAATGAAGATGAAGACTAATGACTAATGATGTTGAGTGCAAGTTGATCCAACAAAGGATTACTTAGACGAGCCACCAACCAAAGCTTGAAGCTTTGACCTTCAACCATTTCCACTTTCTCCCCATTCCGCTGAACAGCAGTGGTCAAGAACAACGTAGATCCCGGCACTCGACCAGGCATTTTGTTCTCCACAAGGTACTTCGCTTGAAGATCCTCGATGTTTGTGGGCTCTGAGGTGAATGGTGTTGGCTCTGGCTCTTCTTCTTCCACAGGCACAATTTGCGTATCTGTGAGAGGTGTGCAGGCTGCACAAAACCTCAAGAGAAACCATGAGGTCAACACCTTTAATGTTGACAAATGTTGAAATAAGTAGTTTACAGAAACAATCCATTCATATCCATTCGACATTTCTATCATTCTGAAGAACCTTGGGGTCACTAATTGAAAGGAGAGCCAGGGTCACAATCGAAAGGATTGCGTGTTTGAGTGTTTGTTCCCATCAATTGTCTTTCTGGTCGAGAAGCTTCTTGTCGAAGTCAACGATCAGGTCCCGCCATACACCTCCATGCACAGGATGGTCCAGATGCATACTCCTGATTTCGTTCGACAGGGTGATGACATACTTCTCGATGCCTTTTTTCGACCCATCCACTGTCATTTTGGCGAGCTTGAGTGGGAAATCCGATGTAGTCACTTTCTCTTGTGGTGGCGGGACTGGATCGTAGGGTCTCACTTTGCCCATCATCTTCCCGCCCTTCTTCCAGTCCTGACCGACCAAGGTATGGTTTGCAACAATAACATCAATCACCACATCACAAGATCTATCTAACAGCACTAGTTAGACACTTCATTAGTTCCGATGGTTATCAGAGCCCCTCAATCCTCGAAAAGAAGCATAGCGCATATCTTCTCACTATGCTGGATCACTGTCAAGTCGGTGCTGAGAGAGAGGCTTTTGAACTGATACCCAGAACCTCCAACGGTGGCATGCAATAAATGGCTTTCGAGGTGGCCATCGTAAGGTGTAAGATTGATCACTCCAATCTTCGAACTGCAACCAGAGGATGCTATCAGAGCAGACAGAACTGCTTCAGGCATGCTGTTTCCGCTCAGCAGTTGCGCAGTTTCTTGGACGTCCGATAGGGACCTCCACAGGAACACCCAGTGCCCAATTCATTGACAGCAGGTTGGAGCCGCTAAAGCTAATTGGAACTCTCCATGCAAGCCACTACACTAAGGTGTCCCCTTCATATTCTCATAACCTGTGACAACCACCATTCCTCAGCCACCATGCAAACAAGATGTGAACAAATTCTTGGAACCAACAAATTCTTGGAACCGTCAGGCCTGACACCTTCCGATGCATGTGGAGTAGCATCATGGCCTGTGGGGACGGTGTACTGGCTCTCTGGCACCCACGGCAAAGGGTCTCTGGTTGTCCTCCGACAATCGAAAAGGAATCTTGGGATTGGGAAGAGGGACTGGGAAGTGATATTGATTATAGTAAATTGTGTAATCAATTGACTAAACATATTCCAATTCAAAACCCTTACTGCACTAGTTAGTATCTCTCTTGGTTCAATGCCACGAGCCTAGAAGATCTAGAATCTAGGGTTTTCTAATGAACCAGGGTTGCAACACAAGGATTTCAGGGCATGGGTCCTCTCTTGCATGAGCTGGGATGCGCTCCACACATTCGAGTCCACACTCCCGGATTGGAATATGAGCCAACCTGGAAACATCAATCGTACTTTCTTTGTAGGAGGAGCCACCTCCATGTGAAGGCTGATGTTCTCCGCATGTAGCGATTTGGCATCCAGCTTGTCTTCCACACGCCTGCGACAAGTCTGGTTGAAGAAGAATGAAAGATGAAAGAGCCTTCAACTATGATTTTGATCCATTGCCCCTGAGACTTTCATGACCTGTTTTTGATTAATGCAGCCTTCCATAAACTTGGGATGATGCATGTAGCTCTACTTTAATTTTTAACACCCACCACAGGTCTCCTCCACTCAGCTCGCATGCCACCTCTTCGATCTGAAGCCAACTGAGGCGCTATTGCAAAAGCAACTGCCTTCTCAGGAGAAGAGGCGAGAGCGCGTTTGGCCAGTTCGACCACGTTGTTGAGACATGCATTGGTGACTCTTCCCAGCTTCATGAAGTCGATCCAAATGATCAGACACATGTTCTCGTCCTTGCTCTTCACCATGAACTGAAGGGTAACTTTTAATGATGATTGGTGGATTTGTTTTCAAAAGATTGACCATTTGGGGGATGAACATTGGGTATAGTATTGGACCCAGGCCAGTATTGGACCAGTATTGGACACCAACCTTAGTCAACCCCAACCTTGGTCAACTCTTCCTGCAGTTCAGACATGGATCCAGCGAGATGGTGGCAGCATCCTTGCATATGCTTAGAAGTAAGGGCAGAACCAATCTGGTTCTCCTGTCTAAGGTGGCACACCTTTGCCACTCGCATCGCCCTCTCTGATTTGGATTCCTCATTGAAGAGCCTGGCCAACTGAGCTGCATCCCTAGCCAGCGACAGGGCGTCCGCCTCGAACTGCAATTTGGTGTGGTCTGCAGTCAATGCAGTGATCTTGTCATCCGCCATAGCTGTTGCGTCTTCCTCGCTGTGGAGGCATTTCACGTTCTCGATCCACATGGTGCATTGGTCTGCCTTGAAGCATGGGTCTCCTGATTCCACCAAAGGCTTCAGCTCCTCGTGGTAGTCCCTGAGCTCGCAGGATAACAAGCGAAGGAGAGCAATCTAAGGTAATGCCTTCACTTAGGTACAGACTTTGAGCTTTGTGTTCCCAACAGCCCGCAAACAACTTGAGTTTATGAAACAAAGAAAGCAATGAATGAACGTGACAAGTTACCCTTCGATGAACCGAGACATCAGCAGTGCAATCGTCTCTGCAGGAAAAACATGTAAGTTCTCCTCATTGCGATGCTGCTGCATCTCGTGCAGCACATAGCCACCTAGACATGCCATGTCACACTCATAGTTCCACCGCTCCAGAGACAACTTCAAACTCTGGGCTTTGCCTGCAGATCTCTTCATGCAGTCAAACATAAACAGGACCCGCTGCAGAAAGATGTGTTGCTTCGCTGCATCGACCTGCAAAATCTCACCCCACACTCCATCAGCTCCTTTTGGCTTCCCTGCCAAGAGCCAGCGTGGGTGAAGAAGAGTGTCGCGATGGAAGGCTGCAGGGACCAGCGACACAACAATTAGAATACATGAACTGATGAACAAAGAACTCCTGAATAGTGATTCCAAACTCCTGAATTTTCAACTCCTGATTTCTTTGTAACCCATCCCTGGTCCTGCCTGATGCTTCAAACTTGTTGGCATGTAGGTGGGCGGTGAGCAACTTCCATGCCGCATCACAAACACCTACCTCAGTGGTTGGCAAGCCCTGACCCGAATAGATAGTAGATGGTGATACAACAGAGAAACCCATGTTTCCACTGACTATATAGGGGTAAACAGTTCACCTGAGAGAAGGAGTCTATCTAGTGTTGGGCTGATGTCTTTTGAGCTAAGGTGCTTTGAAGCCAAACATCAGATTTGACTGGACCTTGTCAACTTGGGCCTTCGCAGATCGCTTTGCTAATCCATATGCATTGAACTCCTCGATTGCCAGGTCCCAAGCTGCGCGATATCCAGCTTCTCCAGAAGGAAGGAGGCCATGCTTCTCCTGTGCGGGCCCATTGGGATCGATCAGGGATGTTGAGGGTACAGCTGACTAGTTTTGAGCAAACAGGATTATTGTTCCCCCTAAGTTGGTGGATGGAGCCATCGTCCTTCAAGATCGTCTCTGCTCGAGAATGAAACGTCAGAGAGAGTTGAAGAATTGATTTCTTTTGTCTCTCAGCTTGTGCATCCGAGACTTGGATACGGCGCCAGATGTAATCCTGCAAGTTATCCTGCTTGATGTAGACACTGTGGATGGTCGTTGCAGTCCGAAGCCACCTCATCAAAACTCAACAAGTCTCAATCAATTTTAAAACTAAATACAGACAGGTACGCATTGCAAAACACTCAAGAGCACACCACTCCAGGGTGAAAGGGAAATCCTCTTATCAATATGTTCTCATCACCTTTGGGCACCCCGGATCCCAAATTTTTTCGAGGCGATGGTGGCGGTGCCACCATCACCTTTGACATTTTGGATTTCATTATATACCTTGGCCATCCTGGGAATATTAATTTATATAAGGAAATCTGATCAGACAGAGTACTTGCAATCTCAATATGCCCGAGGCGACGATGGCGACCGGACCATCACCTTTGACATCTTGAAATTTGAGGTACTGGGGGAATAATGGGGGGCCAGCTCGGGTAAAGGAAATTCTATTCCCTGGGGCCTGGTCGAGGTCCATTGTGTGCGAGGCGACGATGGCGGTGCCACCATCACCTTTGAATTTTTGGGGATCCACACCTCTCAAAGGCGACGCGACCATACTCCAAGTAACTTTTTGAAGTCGTCTACCTCTTCTGGGGTCAGCATGTTCTTCAGCTGGAAGTACGTCCAGAACACTGTGAACTGGAGGATGGTGACCCGACCACATCCTTTCGAGACCTGGATACTTGACCAACTCAAAGGCTGGCCAGCCACAGCGGATTCCAGTCCTCGAAATTCCACCGATTCTCTAAAGCCTTCGTAGCCGATAGCCCAGATGCTCTCGGCCGTTGCCACCCAATCCCCAAGCATCGGCAATCCATCAGGTGGCATTGAAGGTTTGAATGTGAGCAACGGGATGTGCATGGTAGTCTGCACTGAGTCCTCCTTCCAATGTCCGACTTGCACATCGCAACACAGTTGGTTTTGCACTTACTAGTTACAGTTTCTCACGCTAGTTCAAACACATTATGTTTGCAAACCCTGGTCCGGCATAACCACAGAAGGTGGTTGTGGAATAGTTTCCCCGAGGACGCTTTCTAACCAGGTGTGGATTGCTTCATAGGTCTCTGATTTGGCATTGGCGAGCAACCATCCCACCGGGTGTTTGTCGTCAGCAGGGTCGAATGTCCTGATCAACATGAGAAACGGTCACTGTTTTGGTTGGAGTACATGGGGCTCTGAGGAAACACTGTTTGCAAGACAGGGTTCTTCGCACTCTGGATCATCCGCTCACTCCATGGACCGACTGCAAGGTCAAGCTTTCGTTGCTTGGCCGATGGCGGCCCAGCATTTGCGCCGCGCTTACCCATCGTCCCCAGCAAACTGCACTCAAACCAAAATGTCTGTTGACATCTCCAACATAAGAGGGTACAAAGACACAGTCTTTGGCAGGCTTTCAAAAGGTGACAAAACACAACACATTGTTTTTCTCGTTCTACGAGTCCAGGCATTCACGGAGCATCATTGTAGATAGGTTTGGAGTCTTGCATTCCAACCCATCTTGTTCTGAATTACATTCAACCTTAAAGTCCAAACAGTCACGAAAGCCCTAGAATCGCAGCATACATCATGATTCCCACTGATGGGCAGTTCATGGCATTGCCTGCCATACGAATTACTGAGGTTGGACACACATGTCCCAGCTGCACCTGAGGACTGCGAGAGATGCGGGCATGGTGGGCAGTTGTTGGGAGGCAATGTGTCGTCAGCAACTCTTCAGGCTTCATGATACGCTTCTTCTCCTATCAGGGATTGGAAACATGGGATTGTCACCACAAACCTTTTTCATGGCAGGGAAGAAACAGGTTTGGTTTATTTGAAAGTGCTGGGACCTTTGAATACAAATTGCCGCTGTTGGTAGTGATAGTCATGAGGGAGCCATCCACACACTCTGCTCTGCCCCTGCCGTTTCGCACGAGTTGGGATAGGTCGGCCACTTTCCAATTTCTGCGCGAATAGAGCTTGGAGTTCAGGTAGTCCCACAGATTCCTTTCCTGAGCTGTACGCATCACGCAGGGAACATCAAGGGCTTAAAGAGGTACATGCACAGTTTGTAGCTAAGCCTCATTCCCAGGAGTCAGTGGTGTAGGGATCCGATCTTGGAAAAAGAAATCCTGGGCCTTCATAATTGGAGCAGCCCTCAAGCACATCAAGACTTCCATGAAGGGAAACTGTGGATCCCATTTCACATGGTTTGTGTTCCAAAGGATTCCATACACCCTTGGTCGTGAACATCCAAAGCCCCAAAGACGTGGGTCCACCTTGGCCACATGACACTCCCAATGGGGGCCCAAAAAGCGGCTCTTGTATGCTTCAAGCTCATACTCTGTCACATTCTCACAGATGTGAATGTCTGCCACATCCTCCGCTTGGTTCCAATACTTCATGTGTGTCTCAAACTTGATGTCGTGCTCACCCTTTCGTAGCCCCATAAGGCTGTATGGTTGGCATGGTGCTCCTGGAGAGACAGGTAGATCAAACAATGAGAGATGAGAGGGATAAGGTTTTGCAAGCACAGCTCCTGCCACATGCACTCGTTGTCCTGAGCTCACCAAACAACGTGTTACCAAACATGTTGCTGGACTCTAGTCTTGGGTACAGTTTTGTAATGAGTACTTATGACGAGTTTCTGTTCTTCTCACGAGGTACAGTGCACTGGCACATGGTCTTGTGCTTCAGACAGAAGAGCTCTGTTTTCGCTGGCAAATCAAACTCCATGATGTCCCCAAAGAGACAAGAATCACCGTAAGTGTTGGCTAGAACCTCCTGACAGTGAGAATTGTTCTCACAAGCCCACATAGTCCTCACACGAGGTGCCCAGTGCAAAGGAACTGCCTCACTCACCGCTCCCTGCACAGAGAGTACAGCCTTAGGACCACAAACTTTTTTGAACTCCAGGGGTGGGAACTCAAGTTCTAAGTACAGTGCTGTTTCAGCGCAGCCAATACCACTAAAGGAAGTGGTAAAGTTCCAGCGCCACTTCTGTAACTTGTTGAGCACCTTGGCACGTCCAAAGTGGTGGCACAATCGCCCTAGGTAAGTAGATGCCCACTTGAAGGTCTCATTGACATTCTTGGGTCCTCTTGGACGCTCAGGACCACCGATGGGCACATTGGTCTTGCAATAAAACCTGCACCAATCACCATCCAAGCAAGGTTGACTTGGAAACAAACAAAACTTGAAACACCCTGTGCAATCCTTGGCTTCGAAGGACGGTTGACCTGGGGCTTGCTGGGCTTTTTCTTCAAGGCAGGTTTGCGAACGGTCCTGGTACAGAACTAAACTGGACTCAATGTCATATAGATTCAATTGTCCTTGTGGGCGATGATGTTTGTTTCAACAGCTTGACGGCATCCCGCAGACTGACAACTGTCCTGGGTCGTTCGAACGCACCCAAAGGATGTGTGTGCGGTTCAACTTTGAAGACACATCTCATATTCTGATTCTGGCAGTTGAAACTAACACTGAACGAGACGAGTCTCTTCATCGAAAGAGTACTTGCGGAAATGAACTTTCCACGCTGCTGAAAAGGGGCTGCTGTTCTAGAGGTTGATTGGTTTCAACTCCTGCTAATCACACGCCACGCATAGGACTAAGGTGTGTTCATCTATCGGAGGTCGACCCTTTTATTTTGCTACCTGCGTTCAGAAACACACTAAATGTAGCAGAAACTAGGCTCCAGTTCTGGTCGCTTGACCAATAGGAGTACGTTGAGCTTTTGGCGTTCCCAAAGGCACATCATACCCAGCATTGAGGGCACAAAGAATTTGCGCACCCTGTAAGGCACAGGAAGCTACCTCCATCAACTTAAGGGCGGGGTTGCTGCCAGGCTTGTCCAGGATTCGGTGGACCTGCTGTGAGGGAGCTGAGCAGATCCGAGGGCACGCATGAAAAAACAGCCTTAAGAATGACTCATTCACTTTGTTTTGTTTCCAGGCCTCACAAATCTTTTCGCAAGAGATCAAATTGATCCTCAATGCCTGCCGGCTGGTGGCAGGACAGTCTTTCTCACACGCTGTTTGCCAGCCTTTGTTCCTTCGGAAAGTCCTTGATTGCGAGCCTCGCAGAGACTCATGAACCATGAGTTTTTTTGATGAAGCTGTTGTGATTTGAACTGGCAAGATCGCAACTTGTTTTCACCACTTGACTCTGCATTCCAAAAAAATACTGGCCTTTGGTGTCGGTGACACATAGTTTGGGTCCTGCAGCGATGCCCAACCCAAAGCCCCCTTCATGAATTTGTTTAGGCCTGGGAGTCTGGTAGTTCTTGCCACCACACCAATTTCGGGTTCTCAACATAGTCACAGTCCTGAAGCTTGTGGGGCTTGGGTTTCAAAACGCAGTAGACTCATACTCCTTCTGTGAGTTTTTACCCCATCCTCCGACTCGAACAGCCTGCGTTTGGAAGGTCCAGGTTCAGGTGTAGACAGTTCCACCATGTCCACAGAGCGTGCTCGTTTCAACGGGCAGCAATTCCTGCAACGAAGGCCCCTTAGTGACTGTTCTTGTATAGTCGGTTTGTTCATATAATAGCAGATAAAAAAAAACTCAAGGTCCTGTCATCGTCATTCGACATGGCTTTGAAAGAACAATTCACTACCCTAGCTAGCCTTTTGCCTTAATCTATCCTGGTTTGATCAGCTAGCGGCTTTTAAGGGCTAAACAATCAGTTCCTGAACTGGGCAGCCATTGACAATACAATGAGTGAGACACAGTTGGATGTCGTTTGTTTTACACATCCCTTCGTCTGTTCATGCGCGCTGTGAATTGCATTTGAGGGATGATCCTGCCTACGGCAGATCCTCCCACATCTAAATTGATCAAAGCATCAAACTCCCCATGGCTTCTAGTGGAAAGCCATCGTAATGGAGGCACCGGATCAGGAACAGGGTTGGGTGTTGTAAGATCCAGCAAATACCTCACTGTCCTAGCTGCACTTTCAGTGTTCTCATTGCTCAAAATGAGGTTTGCCAAAAGCACAAGTTTCTTCCTCCGATCAGTGTCAAAGGTCTTCAGGGGTCGCGGTACCTGAGGAACATCGCCCAACAACTCCATATACTCAGCAGGAAAAACCAGCAACGGCTCCTGCCAAACAAATGGGAACGAAGCAAATACATCTTGAATAGCTTGACGGTCCTGACTCAATCCTGTGTCTGAAGCATAGCGCTTGACGCAGCAAACCACATCATTGGCCGACTCAACGAAATCGTTCTTCCCAGGGCCGTTCACAACGATCTTCATGTTTCCAGGAATGTCTCCCAAGCAGTCAGCTACTTTTCAAATTCAACAAGCGCCACCAAGTTCAAGGAACACCTTATTGACTGTGCTGTCCCGCCTTTTCTGCGCATAAAGATGAAAGCATGGGCGCCTGAAGAGTCGTCCCTGAGACCTCCACTGAGGGTCACAGGAATTTTCTCAAACCTTGGATCGCCAACAGTTTTGGATGCAATGATTTGTTAGCTGCATTCAGTCCAAAGAACCATTGCTTCCAGTTTCTGGTGGTCTTCAGCTCTTCAACCACCACGGTGGCACTCCCAAGCCACGCTTGGAAATCTATCTTGCTGCAAAGGTATGTGACTTTCCTGACAGAACCGATGGTAATCAAAAAACCTCTTGGGACCTTTTCAAACCTTGTGCACACAAGACTCTCACAGATGTCAGCCGGATCTGATAAGCAGTCGACCCATCTCATTGCTCTCGATAGAAGGCCGAACATTTGATCTCAGCAATGTAGCAAATTTAGTTACATGTTCACAACACCAATAGTTCAGTCACCAGTTTGCATCCAAATAACCCAGGTGGGCATGCGTGTGCCCCACTCGATGAAAGAACAAGCCTGTAAGTTCGAGTCCTTTTTGAAGCAGCATCCACGACAGCATCTTCAACATATACTGGTTCTTGTTCTCCCTTGGGCAGTTATCTGCCTCGGATGAGACGATATACGACATTAGGGCAATACATTGCCTGATGCTGAACATACAATGTCTTGACAAGAAACCCAAATCAGAACCTTTTTGGGCATTTTGGATCCAAGCTTGTCATGCACCATCTCCAGTGTTTTGCAAAGCGACTCGATCACCATGGTCGAATCACTGCCTTGCCTGACCTCCACCACATGGAGCGCTAAGCACACATTGTGTGCCCAGCAGCCCTGTAGTTTGACGCGTGGCCTCTCCAGAGGCTGTAGGGCTTTTGTTAAATGTCGAACTCGAGGTAGGCACCATTTTGACTGGTCCATGCCATCCTCAGAAATCAAACAACAGACTTCCAACATCTCATGTCTGATGCAAGACATCAAATGCTGGTGAAAAACTGTTGTCAGCAGAAGGCAGTCATCATTCTTCCATGGATCACTTGCCTGATGCAGGTTGGAACAACGAGAAAGATGTGGAATATGAGTAAGCACAAGCAACTTTACAGTTCCCCCTCCTGAAGCGAAGACTCAAGACAACGGTCGGCTGCCACTGCATCTAAATGGCCCTTGTATTTTTTGGCCAGCACATACTTGTCAACTGGGTCCTCATGGTGTCGCAACTAAGTTCTCAAAAGAGCAAGTATGGCACCTTCACCATTAGAGCAAAGTTTCAGTGCTCTCTTCGAATGCAGTTTTGTAAGCCACACAGTCATCGCACTCGGGGAATCCAGTCGGACATGAGAAGCGCAATAAATTGCACCACTTTGTCGTGTAGCGTCGGGCAAAGTGCCCATACCTAAGCAATGCATTGCGCAGAGAGTGTACCAGTACCATGACTTTTGGTTAGCAAGATGAGGATTGCTTCTAGCAAGGAACGACACATTGAAGCCACATTGTGCATGGAGCAATTTCAAATTGCCGGGTGGTAAGTATCGTGTGGGAAGCTGACTCGGATCTTGGCCCCAATTTGTATCAACAATCCTGGAAAAGGGCACATTGCAGAACATCTGAACACCCAAAACCAAACCCTTTCTGCGCAACAATGTCAAATTGATTCTAAGAGATGGACTGGCTCCACAACGACTTGAAGCCCAATACGTGCAGCTTCAACTCCATATCTCGTTCAATTGGCTCTGGGGGCACCTCCCATGATGTATCAAATCCAAAGTCATCATCATCATCCTCCACTCCTTGGCCCAGAGGAGCATTCTACAATGGACCCATTGTTTCCCCTCACGGCAAGAGCCTTCTAGATGCACTCTAGTTTCCAACTGGTGCTGCATTAGCTGACCGTTTGCGAGTGAATGCAACCTCCAAATCAGGGCTGCCTGGTGCAATTTCTCGAGATCGAGCACATCGACTGAACCTTAGAGACTATCATCATTCAAGACGAATTGAAACAGCTATTGGCATCTATTGGCCCAAGAGTGAACCGCTGTCAGGAAACCTGTCTGGCAACATACCCCCTGCTCCGATGTAAAGCTGGAGAAAGTACTTGTCCAGCTTCATATATTTGATTGGTTTCCTCTTGATCACCTGAGCACCGCATCAGCATGTGACATGACCTACCCAGAGCTTCACCAATGGTCCTCTTAAACTCTGCCTTCTGACTTCTAGTTGATTGTTTGTAAATGTTCACCTCTGAGTGGCTGCACCGAAGCATCCATACCGGAGGTCAAGTTTGCCACTGCCAGCTGACAGGAATCGTCCAGATCGGATCCCCATAACAGACGCCACACACTTTGGCGACATGATTTTTCCCAAGAATCGCCAGGATCGGTTTCCCTTGGAAGCTTTGCCGACCACTTCAAAGATCTCGGTGCCACAAAACAAATGTCACTCAATGCCAAACATGAGAGACTGAGCAAAACAGTATCACAAATAGCTCAGGCTATCACATATGCATCCTGAGATGGTTTCTCCAAAGACCAAAAGGACTTCATGAAAGCCATGACATCATTGACGTCCCCCCGCAATGACTCAAAGCATTTGCCCCGGTGGCATCGACATGCTCGAACGATCAATGCTCGAACTCTGGACTCATCCAACCCATTTTCACGTTGCCTCAGATTGAGGCCCGGTCCCCCCACACACACACACACATCGATGGCCAAGGAAGAAACCTTCAATAAAGAACTAAAAGAAATCAAGGTGCTGGTGTTTACGATGTTCCTTCGCATAGAAGCGTCTTCTGCTATTGTTGTAGTTCGGTCGTTTCTTGGCCACAGGTCGGGGCTGAACATATGACCTTAACCCTGCAGCTTGGAATCTGAGCACACCAGGTAGATCAAAGCTGACCACATGGCACAAAGATTCCGGGGCCACACAAGCTCCCTTTGGAGCTTGACGTGCAAGGCCCCGAAAATATGCACGGCGATCTACCATGCCTCCTTTAGCCCCACAGCTATTTCACAGCCACACAACTGTTGGTGCCGACCCCCAAATAAAACGAAAAGGGCCTCAAACATAACGAATCCTACTTCATTGTAATACAAAGCAAAGGGAAGCTATACGACTACAACCGAAAGGGGATGGGGGAATGTACCAGTCGCAGCAGTCCGTGGCAGTCCCCTCCATCCCAGCCCCATGCATATCAACTAAATTCTGGAAAATCCAGTGATTTGCAATAATCCCTAAGGATCCAAGTACCTTCACAGAAGGTGATGTGTTCGACACTGTAGGTTTGGAGGGTCCAGTCGTACCTAACCTGAGAAGGTACGACTGGATCCCTAGGGAATTTGCGCAAGTATATAGGTGCCCTACTACGGCCCTAACGATCCACCTGGCACCCGTACTCCAACCTGGTACGGTTTCCGGTGATTTTGGGCCACTGAGACATGAGACGGTGCCAAAAGGTCGGGTCCAGCCGTACCTTACCTGAGAAGTATGTGGATCTCCAGGGCTGTAAGCAAGGGAAGATCGACCACTACTCTGGAGACTACCATGAAAACCTCAAAACCCACTGGTCGAAAGCCAC